TATTGTGGCCAGCCTAAGAAACACCTGTGCAATACCCATGCTGTCTGATCAGCATCTTGATATGCCACATCTGTGAGGTGGATGGATTATCTCGGCAAAGGAGAAGTGCTCACTAACACAGATTTTGAAAGATTTTTGAACAATATTTGAGAGAAATAGGCCTTTTGTGTACATAGAGAAAGTCTTAGATCTTTGAGTTCAGCTCATGATGAATGGGGGCAAAAACAAAAGCGTTGCGTTTATAGTTTTATTCAGTGCAAGTAGCAATTGTAAGTGGCTTTGGATAAAAGCATGAGCTAAATGAATAAACGTAAATGTAATAAGAGACTACTTATCTCTGGGAAAATGAGCCAGCAGAAAGATAGGTGCTTGTTTGCTTTTTGCATATTTGCACATTACATTGTGTGACTTTGTATGTACAAACACTTTAAGACAACAAAAAAACAATGGCAAGTTATAGTAATTGCTGAAAAAAGAGGTGTAAAATATGTTACATGTGCCATCCATAGAAAATACAGTTTATTATTCAGCTGCCTAGGCAGATGCCTTTCTAGATGCTCCCTGTTATTAAAGAATATTACTTATGTTAATACACGTTCTTATGCCAATAAATAAACAGGGGAGCTTGTTAACTTCTGTCTCAGTTTACCCCGTAGCCACCATTTGAGAAAAATTCTTAGCACTTAATTAAAGTTAATAAGAGACTTATAGCCCTTGGTTTGAAATGTAAGTTAAAGATTAAGTCAGATCTTACCGTTTACGAACAGTGGTCAACAACAAGCATGTAAATATAGCAACACCAGAAATATGAATTGATCCAATGGTGTTTAACCATTATTTGAATCAGTAGCAGTGATCTTCAGTTTGTGATGCTGCTATCCATTTGGGTTCCAGGAGGACTCAGAAGATGACAGTAGACACTTGTGGTGATACTTATTTATTCAAACATTCATGTGTATTATTTTACATTATGATGGTGAAACAAAATAAAAAACATAAACATTCAACTGACAAAAAGAAAAGAAAAAAAAAAAAAGGTCTCTGACGCATGGTCATGGCCACTGATAACTGAGCTCTCTGCTGTCAATCACATAAAAACTACTACAGAAATGTCTCTATTCAAATCACGCAGACCTGTAGTAAACTGTATCATATATCATCATAGATACACCTGTTCACCAACCATGTAACAACTTTAACAGCTGTTCTAATCTGTGGGGAAACGATGCTTCTTCCAACATTTCCTCTGGATAAAAAACAGAAACGGTTTCTTCCTCTATCCATCCAGCAACTTGAGGATGCTTTCCCTCTCCTTCAGTGCTTTCCAAGCCTGGTCCTTCTCCTTCTTGGTTGGAGTGCGTTTCTTCTGCCTGGCTGCCATGATTCTTCGAAATCCCTCCATGACTTCATTGTCAGACACCCTGACTCTCTGCCTCAGCTCCTGCTTGCGCATCTCCTCCTTCGCCAACCTGTGAGGCAGCAGCAAATACAAAGTAAATGTCAACAGCTGATTGTGGGTCAGACCTTATTCTATGTACAGTTTACTTGATGGTAAATATATCCACTGCTGGCCCGTGTCCTCACCGCAGCAGCTCCTGCTTACGGGCTCTATTGTGAGCACTCAGGGCTTTGAGCTCTGCTTGTCTTTTCTGCAGCTCTGCCAGGACCTCGTCCTCAGAGTCTCCTCCAGGTCCAGGTCGCTCCTCGGAGTCCAGCAGCCCCTGAGCCACCAGCTCCTCTTTGATCCGAGCCTCCAGAGAGCGTGTGTGAGGAACACTGGAGCGGGGAAGAAAGACAGAAGATGTGTCATATGTAGCATATAAAGTAAAAAGTTCAGTCTGGCAACTCAATACCTACAATAAACATTTGTGCAAAGTCATTTTTGGAGTACTGCTAAAAACACACACGACGTGAATAAACGAAACTCCCAACCAATATACAGTACTGTGGCCAGGCAGCCTCAGCGTGGTGAGGTGTGCGGGGAAAACACAACTTCTAAATACGTTAGCATCCAAACCAACATGTACCACATCCATTCAAGGAAAGTGAGTAAATGTCAAATATTATAATTTTAGATTTCACATTAATTTCATCCCTCCAAATGTACATGCATGCCTGTATGTATTGAAATAATATCACATACATGCACACACGTGTACTTACATATGCATACACATAACTATACATTACAAACATGGGTTTGCAGCAATTACAGCTGGGTGAATGACAATGGCCTGGGTCAGCAGTCTGACGTTGGAGTGAGTGTGAGAATGTAACTTGTGTATTAAAATGGCGGCCAACATGCTACATTATCCAAAGTGGAGAACTCAACATGGTGCCTCTGATATCTTGTACATTCACTGCACAAATACCTAAAAGCTTTTCCTTGGCTTCGAGGAGAGGTCCCAGCACAATCATTAGCATCCTTCCCTGATATGTCAGGTATAGGAGAATCCTCCATGGGGGATATAATGTTCTCCTGGAAGAAACCAGAAACAAATCTCAGCAAATATAGCCATGTTTGAGTGTTTACACTATATTTAAACATGAAAATATCAGGTGCCATATCTCACTCGTCAGTAATTTCTGCATTTTCTAAAGCCACTATGCAGTATTGGAACTTTTATCAGTCTTCAACATACTGACCTCTACAAGGGCCTGGAGCAGACGCTGCGTGAGAGGACCAAAGGGACATCCGTCCTCTGGAGATTCATGTTGGGACTCTGACTTTTTCAACAGGGAGTCCACATCTAGAGCAGTTGAACATGGAGATGAGTACTAAGGTGGATACATGCTTGTGTAGTAACTACAGCCTGGCATGGTAATAACATGTGCAGACTAGCCCATGTGCAGTCATTTAAGGAGCAGGTCTGCAGTCTTCCCTCACCTTTTGCATCCAGCTCTGACAGCGGGCCCCCCATAAGGCTCTTTTTCTTGTCATTGGCTCGTGCTCCTTCCCTCTGCTCCTCCAGCAGATCCTCCTGAGCCCACCGCTGAGAGTAGTGTTTCCCCAGTGCTGGGATCTACAGTTAACACAGGCAGTGCCAAAGCGTGTACTGTGATACATTTCACATATCACAATAAAAACACACAGAATTTTGGCCAAGCTTTGACTGAATTTAGGTATAACAATAATAACATCAACAACATAGCTTTTTATTTCATACTTTGAAATATTCAGCTTCATCCTCCGGGGGTTTCAGAAGCTCTTCTAGCAACCGTATCTCTTCATTTGTGATATCAGCACAATATGGCTCGACAGATGCCCAAAATCTGAAAAAACAAACAAACATTTTAAATACAAAAAAGATACTTAGCCAAAACAAAACACATTCATTTTACCTTGACTAGGGTCACCAATAAATCGAATAAAGTCTGATTTGACTTGAGGGGCGAAGAGGAAAAACACTGAGGCTAAGCAAATACAGTATAATAGAACTGAGATATATTATGAAGAGCTGTAGTTTTTCACGATATAAAGAAAAATTTGAATTGAGTTGTTGTTGCTGACCTGTTGGGAGCATCGTTTTTAGGAGTGCGGGGAATGTCTTGTGGCTCGTCTGTGAATTCATACTCTTGGACTTTAGGCTGCAGATTTTTGGATTTGGGTCTGCCAGGACCTGGGCCTGGCCCGTGACCACCTTTGCCGTCCAACTTCTGCTTCTTTGGCTTGTGGCGAGAGGAGGCAGCAGGGTCTGGGTCTTTCCCCAGCTTCAGAAAGCGCTTATCTCCCTTCTTGTCCTGCCAGTCTGTGAGGATCTGAGACGCAGCACGGAGAGGGGAAACCAACAATGGAGGCGATGTAAACGGTGACATTGTTGGAATATGTGTTTGGGATTCAGAGACAACTGACTTGGGATGAAACCCCAACAAGTTAAACCTAACTTTCTCCTACCTGTCTCTGCTCCTCCAGGGCTCGAAGGCGGCGGCTGGCCGAGGACAGCAGCGTCTCCAGCTCCAGCTGCAGGGTGTCCAGCTCCTCAATGCCAATTCCATCGTCCTCTGACCGGCCGAGCACAGCAGTGTAGCGTGGGCACACCTTCACGTGCTCGACGGGCTTGAAGTCGTAGTATTTCAGTGGGGGGCAGTCCTTCAATTCGCTCATGGTGCTGTGTGGCGGAGGCCTGGTGTCTGGACAAACTGATACAAGGACAGTGGACAGATGGACAATGTGGATAATAAGAGAGACGTACACATAGCGGTGTCCAGCTGTTGTTCTTAGTCTTTCCTGTCTGCCTGTGTCTCTCTATCGCATCCACGCATTAAACGCACACTCAAGCACGCACGCACTCAAAAACAAGTATACGCAGGTCCGCATCACCGACGCAAGCTCGCTGGGCCCAAACCGCACAAACTGCTCTTACATTTCAACAGTGGTCACTGTGATTTCACGATTTTGCACACAAACGCGTCACATTAACGAGTTTTAAAATTGCAAGAGTTGAATGGCACACACCTGAAGCACAGATATAGATGTTTCAATGATTAAAAGCAACGATATTTACCATCAGTGAATGGCGTCCATGATGGGAGAAAACATTGTGATTTGAGGGGTGTGTGAGATGCATTTAAATGAAATTATAGCCCATTTTTGACTAAATAAATTTTTTAAGAACTAAATTTAGAAAATACATAACGTTACAAAAATCAAAAGAGCGTTTTCAAATGTTATTATCTATCGAAATGAACTCGAGGAGTTAAAATACATTAACCTAATCCAAAATGGTATCACCGGAACAAACCATCTTGTGTCACGGTGCTCACAAAAATAGATGCCCGCTAACCCCGTAATACAACAAGTTACCTAAGTCATATATACATGTTGTGATGTTATTATTGTACATATGTAATTGAGAAACCGGTTTTAAAAAGTGAAGTGACTCCTGAAAAAACGGAGGCTGAACACGTCTCCTGTTCCCCGAGAGGAATGGACGCACCGTATGGTGTGCTCGTTTTGTAGAAAACGCACTCCACCTGGGCGGTGTAATGCGCGCAAAGGGGACCGCTTCTGATGTGTGGAGAGATCCGCTTCTTCAAACGAAGAGCGAAGTAAAAACTAGTGCACCCTGTCTGTACTCGACGATGTAGGATTTACGGAAGAGGAGTCCCAGGCGTGGCAGAGGAACTTCCGTCTTGTAAAGCTCAAAAATGGTAAGTCTCCTGCACTCAATATGTCTTTATTTTTAATTAATTAGCCGTTTACCTCCGCTGATTTTGGCTTTAGTCGAAGCGACATTAGCTAGCTAGCTCCGTGTTTCTCATAGACGGGGTTTGTGGTCGGCTGCAGTGAAATGAGAGGACGGGCATCCTTGATAACGTGACGGTTTGCAGAAACTAAAGTGATAGAGCTGAGCTGTCTTTTCCTCTCGGCCTCTTTCCCTCCTTCTTCTATGACAGGTAGAGCTGTCATTTAGACGGTGGATATATGTGGCACCGGCAGAAAGATGTAACGTTAGATGGACGTAAATAATTTGGATGTGCTGCAATCTCGGTCACAAGAAAGTGACTCATCCACGAACGTTAATGCAAGCAAAATGATTTTAAGGACCCTCACATCTATATAAGGTTGCAGATTATTTACATCAAGTTGATACTGATCGTGTTTTTCTTTCTAAACTGGCTGTTAATGGTCCTATGTTCAAAATGTAAAGGTGACGAACAGTAAGTTAAGTGGGTTGTAACTGAGCAGCAGCCACTGCATCCCTGCACACAGCTCATTTTGGTTCCTGCTCAAACCTGACCTCATAAGCTGATCCTGCTGGTTTGAGTCGACGTCACTAGACTGGGAGGTTCAGTTTGCCCATGTTCCCTGATCTAAATAACAAAAGAATCATCTAACAAGATCTTCTCTGCAGTGGGACCCACCCAGACACTGATCTCACTCAATTTCTCCCCAGACAGCGACTTTGCGCCCCTACTTAAACGCTGTGAGGGCCACCTTGCAGGCGGCGCTGTGTCTGGAGAACTTCTCCTCTCAGGTGGTGGAGCGTCACAACAAGCCAGAGGTGGAAGTTAGGTATGTTTTAAAGCCGTGTGTTTGGAGTAGTCCCCCCCCCCCCCTTGCTTCCTCTGGTTGCCCCCTTCCTGCTTTGCTTCCTCCTGTTTCTCCTGCCCTGAAGCTGTTTGCACATCTACAGCTGTCACACAAGTGTGGACTTGTGCAAACTTGCTTAAGAAAATCTAAGAGGGGAAAAATGGCAAAAAGCATGGGCAAGGCTTTAAAATTAGCCTGCGGGGACTTGCCGGGGCCTGTTTGGAGGTGTTTTTCCCCAATACAGAGTAAAGAGTTTTTCAACAAGTCACTAAACTTCAATTGTATGTAGATCCATGCAGGGTCTCACAGACAGTAATGACTTTGAGTGTCTAGAAAACACAATAGTGTTAATCTCAGCAGGCCTGTTTTCACCTGTAATGGATGGATTGTGCTGTGGTTACAGGAGCAGCAAGGAGCTGCTACTTCAGCCTGTGGTGATCAGCCGTAATGATAAGGAGAAGGTTCTCATTGAGGGATCCATCAACTCTGTCAGAGTCAGCATTGCTGTCAAACAGGTGATTAGAAGCAGCAGGATTTTGACTCCCGTTTGGTTATGAGCTATTCACATTTCCTAATTTTCTTCCACAGTCTTATATGCAATAAAAAAACAACAACTTCTGTGTCACTGTAGGCTGATGAGATTGAGAAGATCCTCTGCCACAAGTTCATGCGCTTCATGATGATGAGAGCAGAGAACTTCTTCATCCTGAGGAGGAAACCAGTAGAGGTAAGAGACACAGCGGTAATCTGGGTTATACATAATGGAATAAAGAGGAATCAATATACAGTGACAGTACAACAGGAAGAATGAAACAGTGTGAAATGGCAAACGTCAAAGGGCTCTCTCTGTTCTAGAAACTGTAGACAGATATTTACAACAGACATTCCCATGATTGCATTTGATCTTGGACTCTTTTTATTTTCCTCTCTTGCCCTGTGATTTCAGGGATATGATATTAGCTTCTTGATTACCAACTTCCACACGGAGCAGATGTACAAACACAAGCTGGTGGACTTTGTCATCCACTTCATGGAGGAGATTGACAAGGAGATCAGCGAGATGAAGCTGTCCGTTAATGCCAGGGCCCGTATCGTTGCAGAGGAATTCCTCAAGAACGTAAGAAACTAGCTTAAAAAAAATCTGCATATTTATATATATTTTTTCTGCATATGACAGTCAGACTCATAGCTGGAATTGTGTACAAATGCTCTTTATTGTAAAAGACACAAATATTTGCATGGAAAATAATTGCATAATTCTCCTCTCCACAGTTCTGATGACAATGTTGTCCGTGCCCCCGCACAAGCGGGGAAAACGCTGCAAGGACCAATCAGCACAAGAGAGGAAAACTAAACAGCCAATCAGTGAGGAGATGAGAGGAACATGACCAATCTGGCGATGACATCCTTTGCGCCCGTCTTGAGTATTTCCCTGTAGTCATGAATATCAATGACTGTATATAATGAAATATTTACCAGTTTCATTTTCAGCCACTGAACAAATCCCCAAACAAAGGCGGGTCCTTAAAGTATTAATCAAGTTGATAGCCATGAATACAGGGGCATTGAGGACGTGTCGTTGCAAATGAAACGGACAGGTTTTTGTATTTTCTGTATGTGAGTGTGTGTGTCACGGTTGTTTTTAAAAAAAAATTTGTCTCCAAAAATTTTCTCTGTTCAGGAAAACCCGTGTTAGAGGAAAGTAGTCTGTGTGGCGTTTAATCACGGCACACGGAGCAAAAGCTGTCTGTAAAGAAGCCACAAAAACCTATGTATGAAAATAATGACAGACAATAAAACCGTTGTTTATACCTTTTGTGGTATTTCAAATGCTGTCAATCTTTTTGTGTCATCTATGGAGGGCATGTGTGCTACTGCTGTACCTATAAATGGATTTGTTCTGCTTCTGAGGAAGTTGGTTTTAGTCTTTGGCCACATTATGCACAGCTACGGAGCTATTTCAGCTGGGAGGAAGGGGAAGTAATATCTTCATGCTTTAGGCAGTGTGAACCATTTTTGTTGCACAGTATTTGTTCACTTTTACATGTTAATCCCAATGGTTTAACTACAGGTTACAGCCCAAAAAGAAGAAAGTGGCACTTTTTTAAATTCATCTGTATTTCCTCAGGAGTATTTGTTGGACAAGCAGCACCTCCCTGTAGTCACACACACACCTGCTATACAAGGCTTGTACTGCTGGAGGCGAAGTGCACCGACTTAATATTGGTTGAAGGGTTTTTTATTGAACTCCTATGACTAATCAGCCACTTTGGGAATTCAGAAGAGGAACTTAATAAAGTTATCTCCTGGACACTCCCTGTTTGTGATCACATATTTTTACCATGCCCTTCCAGTTCCCCTGTTTAATCACGCAGCCTCCACGTCCTCCACCAGTCCCTCATTTCAGGGAACCCACAGGGGACAGACAGACGAAAGAGTCTGTTTCTGTGGACTCCATCCAAACTTCCATCAGCTGGCACCTTCTGATTTGACCAGTCCTCCATTTGTTTTGTTTTTTTTCTCCTAAAAATCACCAGTTCTAGCTTTTAGACAGCTGGTGAGACTTAACAAGATTGCTAAATCAACAGAAAACATGATGGCCATTTATTCACTATTTTGTGGCATTTTATAAATTAATCACTTTGTTGAGAAAGTACTGGCAGATGAATCGAAAATGAAAATAATCATTAGTGCAGTCCTAATAATGACACCATCACACAAGGTAGGGTCTTTAGCTAGCGATCACATGACAGGTTGGTTTATAAAAATAACTTCTTTATTATACTGGAGTTGGGATGTACATTTTGAAGTTATGACCCATATAAACACCAACAGGTTTGAGCCAATGTTGCATTTCCAACACCCCGTATTGCGTAGATGTGTTCTACACAAAAAGGTATTATGGGCACGTTTTAATTTCAAGTATTTTGATCACAGAAAAGATAATACTGACCCAGTCCATATATTTAATCATCACAGTCAAATGATTGCACAATACAGTAACATGTCAAGCGTGTAGCAGAAAGTCACATGATCATTTGATGAAACCACCATGATGTTGGGTGTTAATTCTACTGCTGCACAACATCAATACACTGTAACTATACTGAATATAGTAACAAATGGACAGGAATCTGATGTGAGCCAAGTGTTTACATCCCCTCTGTGCACAGAGGTGCCACACCGTGTAGCTTTCAAATATGAACACTGAGGCCCAAACACATCACGGGTTCAGGTCGAGCTCCTTCCAACCCCTTAAAAAGGACAGACGCAAGTGTTAAAGAAAGGTGTGTGTGTGTGTGGAGTTGAAGGAGAAGGAGGAGGCACATCACCCAGACGGTCACAACATTGAGCAGGTTGTGCACACTGGAAACGTGAAATAACCACAAGAGTCCCGTCAAAAGGGAGGGAGAGGTCCAGCTGCAGCCTCACTGGGTTATGGCAGTCTGTCAGAGGTGAGGAGGGACGGTCTGCAGGGCGTCTTCAGTTGTACGGTGGATGTTCACATTCTGGAAAGAGGAATGCATCAGTGTCAAACACATCGACAGGGAGGGTGAGAAGACACTAGACACCTCTAGAAACTTCATGCTGTATAGCCCTGTTTGTGCACTTGTGATGAATTCTTTGTGTTGATGTACTGTAGACTGTACATGGCAGATGTCATGACAGTCAGCCGTTTTATTTTTGAATGATGTACCACCGGTTTGGCCACAGATGATCTGACCTCTTTGAAAAACTGTGCTTGACGCTTCAGGTTCCTTTAAAAACTCAAAGTGCAGATTACCGGACCCTTTTCATAACAGACAGATGCTGCCATCAACAGAAAATGGCCCATTGTAGCAGCATTTGTCATTTACATTTACTCACTTAGCTAGTGCTTTTATCCAAAGCGACTTACAATTGCTATATATGTCAGAGGTCGCACGCCACTGGAGCAACTAGGGGTGAAGTGTCTTGCTCAGTGACTCATTGGTGGAGGTGAGAATAAAACCATGGTCTCTCCTACCAATGGCATGTATTTACCTCATGATTTAAACATGTTTTCATGATGTTTATTTTGAGGTCTTGGTAAACTCTTTTAAAACATAATAAATATCTTTTATTTTCAAAAAATGATGCTGGGAGTAACAGGCGCACATTTTACGCTCACACCAAATTTGAAGACAGAAATGTGCGTGTGACACAGTGAGTGTATTGTTCAGGCTGATGAATAGCAGCACTTGCTTATGCACCCCAGTGGATCCTTTGCATACAAATGAATCAGTGTTCAGTTTGCACAGCAGAGCACGCAGGGAGGGCACCGAACGTCTGATCAGTAGATAGTGACAATAGGAAGGAAGTAGTTGGCATCTTTTGATCTCCAAGCAAGTTTGAGTAGGAAATCCAGCTCAACAGTCTAGACGTATTTCATCTTTAGATTTACCTTTAAAGGTAAAGCATATAACCCATGATCCTAAAACAGCTTTCATGTCAAACTTTCTAAAATGAAGCACAAGAAGAGTGTGGCAAGGATACATGAAACGGTTGAGTGGAGTTTATTTAGAAACATTAAACAGAACGATCTTCCTCTTAATTCTTATCAATGATATGAATAAACTGCAAAAACCTTCACATTGTTGAACAAAGTATGTCTGTACCTCCAGGCTCTTCATTAGACAGTGCTAGACATCCTAAAATTAGAGACAAACTGTAATAGAGGACATTTAATAAAGAAATAAACAAGAGTTGATTTTTATGTGCAAAATATAAAAGCACAAACTTGTTTTGTGCTGTGCCATGCTCTGAAACTAAGATGAGACTGAGTGTGTCTACCTGTTCTACCAACAGAAATATAAAGTGGTGAGACGCTGCTCAAAGTCAACATTGTTAAAATCAGTTCAAGTGACAAGATCAATAAGAAAACAAACTACACGTAATCACTGCGTCATCTATAAAAAGTTTAGCTTCATTTCTTCATTTGGAATTACATCATCACACCCAAAAAAAAACAAAAAAAAAAACACACACAACAACCATCGGCTTTTCCTTTACTCTCCAAAAATGGGAGAATGTGCACGACACAAGATCCGGGTCATGGGATTAATAATCAAAATTAGAAACTGGATTCCAGTCAATTACCACCATCACCACGTCTCAAAACATGAGTAGAGGAAAAACAGTGAAGAGTAATTCAAAGAGACCAGAGGTTGCTGCGTTTGGCAGGTACAATGTGCGTCTGAAGGGTACAGTGTGCGTAAAGGAGGGTAAAAGGGGAGAGGTGTACAGCCTCATTGGTGAGCTGGCACTGTTAGCAAAGCCTCCTGTGACATCCTCGACACGTCTACGTTCTGTTTGATAAAACAAACAAAAAAAACACACACACACACACACACACACACACAAAGAGGGGGATCAAAACACATGGGAGAGATGAAATCCACAGCACACACACTGGGCGAAGACTCGGAGAGACGTATGAAGATCAAGGGATGTGTTTTTACATGCTTGAGGTTTCATCACCAGTGTCTTCATCAGTGATGCGTCGGCAGTGCAAGTCAAGAAGGAATTAAACAACAAAATCTTCTTATGCTTATCTCATGTGCTTTTCTTAGAAAATCTGATGATTTCTGAGCTGCAAAAACATGAAAAACTTTATTTCCAGAAAGGGGCTTTATGGGTAATAGACAATCATCTAAAAATCCCAAAACGTAAGAATAAATTGTCATGATCGTATTGATTTTCTAAGCCTTACATCATATCACATTACTCATATACAGCACATATACTCATTGTTATAATAATTATAGCATTTATAAACCTGCATGATGGCAGGTATATTTCACTGAGAACTATTGCTGGCTGTTCAACTACCATTGTGTGACGACGTTTATCAGTGCGTTTCATCAACAACCCCTGTAAGAAGCTGGAACGTTTTCCACACAGAGGCATATCTATCTGGTGGGTGTGAGGGGGAAAATGTGGAATGCAAAAGAAGCCTTGGTTATTGCTCCTGTTATGCTCTGATAACATACAATTCACACATATTCCAACACACAAACCTGCTCTGAGCTTATTAATGTCCCATATCAATGATTACACAAACGTGGCCATCAGAATTAAGTGCTGACAAAGGGGTCTAAATTCAGCTTGAACGCTGTGGTGAAATATCCGATGTGACACAATGATGCTCAGCACCTGGGGCTATCGGACCAACCGGTCTGTGAACCACATTAGCTTGCAAAAAGTGGTTCAGCTGTACTGTGTGTGCGCTTGTTATACCCACCTCCGGTCTTTCTCGGTGCGTGTTGACTGCATCCACATTTAAGCTGATGGACTCCACCTTACAGCCTGAGCGTGCAGACAGAAGTTTCATTAGGTCAGGTGGCAGAAGAGTGTTTTGGTTTTTTTAATTACCATTTATTTACCATCTGCATTGTATGCTAATAGGAGAGCGGTCCTACCGTAGGCTACTGGCGTAAGCTTCAGCACAGTGTGCAGAGGGCACTTCAGGTACGGCAGCTCTTCTGTGTGAAGACAAATAAAACAACAGTTCATGAAACTACCTGAACTGTAATTCTTGCAATAATAAACTTCTTTTTTTTATTTTAGTAATGACAAAGAACAGATGAGGGTATCTATAAAGTAGAGGACTGAAAAAAAGAGTATCGGTAAATACTCGTCCCTTGTCTTGAAATAACACGTAACACATAAATGATTTTCTGCTTTAGTTGGCTCATGTAAATGTTAGCTTGCCGGCTAACCCCGACCAGTCGCTAACGTTAGCTATTGCACAATACTAGAGTTGTATAGCTTTCCACATTACTTCACCAGTAATGATTCATATTACTATCCTGTGTACTGCAGGTATTATGTCAAAGTGTTGATTTTAGCCTGCAAGAAAGGACACAAAGCAAATGTGGAGCGATTTGTTCATACTAGCCTATACTGATGCAAGGCAGAGGCAGCCATCTATCATTATCATGGGTCAGACGTTTTTTTGCCTTGTAAAGGTCAATGTAGACTTATTGTCGTTTTACCGATACTCAGGTACACAGCTTGTTCGCCAGTCTCAAATCCTGTAACCTGTGACTGACATAATATACATTAACACATTATGTTAATGTGCTAATGCTGCTACTATGCTCTAACTGTTATATATTAAGTGTTGCAACAACATTTATGATATTCAGTCTAGCTAACTAACTGCTTTCATTATCATTCGAAACATTTATCTGTGCTGACACTGTTGAACTTCTGTGGTGAAAGATACAGAAATAGCCGGCAGGTGAGCTAACGCTGAAGTCTCATGTCGGACAAATGCAGTCATTGTAACGTTATCATGTAACAAGCATGGATTGGTTCAACGTCATGCTGTAATGTTACAGTGGGAGTTTACATGAGTTTCGAGCATTACTGAAAAGTACACATGGGCCCTTTAAGGATCCTTGGGGTTCAGTTAAAAAGGACTGACCTGCTGTCTTGTCCAGGAAATAGGCCAACAGGCAGCGCATGACGGCCTGGTGACAGATGACCAGGACGTTCTCTTGCCGTTCCAGCTCCATGATGGCAGGCTCCAACCGCTGCACCAGGTCCTCATAGGACTGAGTTCAAGAGACACAAAAAGAGGCTAATCAGACAGGCAGAAATCAGAGTGCTACACTTCTAGAAACATTTCACTCAATCAACAACAAAGACAGCTTTATCCATCCCTAAGAAAGGGCACACTAACACATTTGAAGTAGAAGAGAAGAACATCTGTACAACTTCCACACAATCTGCTTTCTTCAGACATTCTGCTAAATGATGAATCTCAGGTAAACAGATTTCAGCAGGTGGAACACGCCATACAGGCTGTCTTAGACCAGCACCAGCTTTAACAAGATTCCCTGCATCAGCACTGTCGGCCTCGGCAGCCAACTAATTCCCATATCCGTCTTCCTGTGTTGGCTTAATGGAGAGGTAATGGGATGGACTTAAGGTGGGAACAGACCAGCGGGCATTCAGACCCACAGCAAACACACACTCTAGGATAATGTGAAGTCTTTGTTTACAGTGATCTGGTGTTAAGCCAAATCCGCCTGAGAGGCTGCTCGTCCAAGCTGAGGCTCATTAAGCAGCAGAGTAAGTGGCCAGCAGCCATCTGGATGCAGTTTAATTGTTTGTTTGTGGGGTTACGTGTGTGTTTGTACTGGGGGTGGGGTGGGGCGCTCAGACAGAGACACACTGCCCACGATGCTACCTTAACATATAGAAACGCACTTAACAGGTAGGTTAAAAGGTTAGATTTAACCACTGACCTCTCCTTTCGGGTAGCGATAGCGGTATTTGTCTTGGTCCCTCAGAGCAAACTCCAGGGGAAAGTGCTCCTGGATCTCCTCGTACATCATCTCCTCACAAACGCCCTAAAATGACATCGCACACACAGATTATGCTCCGGTAACACCGCATGTTAATAAAAATTAAGCAAGCCAGGTTCAGGTGGGTGAAGAAGTTAGACTCACACTGCATCGTTTATTGAGCCAGGCCGGAGTGATACAGTGCCAGCATCCAAACAAGGTTACTGTTCACACCTCTATGTGTGAAGACTCTATTGGATGTTGGTTCAAATCATGACGCTATGCTTACCTATGTTAACCTAAAGTCACGTTGTGCGTCATTCAAGCCACATGCAACACTTGCTACATAGAGCCAGTCAGTCTGAAACAAAATACAGATAATCGTGACCTCAGGGTACCTAACAAAATGATAGCAGCAGCGTCAGTCAGTCAGTCCACCAAGCAGGCAGAGAGAAGTGTGAACTACGGTTTTGGAGAGTCCTTGTCTCTCACCTTTGGCTCGCTCTAGCTCAGCAATTGACCCTAACATGACCTGCCGAAACCTGTGTCACAGTACGCCTAAAATTCCTTCACACTGCACGCATGTCAGCAAACGGCCTTGCTTTGCAGTCATAAATGTAGTACTCACTGCATCAATCTCGTTCAGGACCTTCCACTGCTCATAGGGCACATTGAGAGCCTCGGCAGTCTGGATGGTTCTCTTCATCTGACTGGTCCACACCTTCAGGTCGCTGATGCCCTGCGTCTGGATGAACTGGCTCAGCTTCTTCCCAAACTGCATAGCAAAGAAAAAACTTGTTATTTTTTTTTACCAACTCGTCTGGACTCTGAAGACACATCTCTTGTTGAAAAAAAGTCTGATGTACCTCCTTTCCTCTTGGCGTGAGGCCCGAGTCCCCTCCGATTCGACCATTGACGTTGAGCTCGCTCTCGCCATGGCGGCACAGGTAGATGGAGCGAGGCGTGATGTGAATGTTCATGAGGTAGTAGACGATCCGGCTCTGGATGTGGTCCAGCACCCTGTTGACCAAGTACCGTTGACCCACGTCCATGATTTTGATGTAGGAGAGATCCCTGAGGGGAGACCACAGACACATTGAGCCTTCAGTTCAACATTGTTTGATGTGACTGAGTCAAAACCAGTCAACAGATTTGAGAACCCTAGAATAATTAGTTGTTAAGAAATACAGCCAACCTCGGTCTCCCCATACACAGCGACAGTTTAGGGGAGTCTCTATAACGACACCATACTAAATGGTGCGCAATATTCATGTTTTTTATATTAATTTGAAAGGCCAAGATAACTTAGATTTAATAGTTATTAACAACAATTTGAGCATGTTTTACATACAGTAGACAGCAAACTTGAACACCAACATACTGTATGTCAAATTAGCTGCAGCAACTACACAATAACAAGAACTAATGCATGAGAACTGCAGGGAGGTGAAGAGGGAGAGAGAGAGATGTGACCCACGACCAGGTATACCATAGTTTATAATAATGCAGCTCAGCAAGGATACAGACGTTTTATTGAGTAGACGAGTGTACATAAACTCAGTGTAGTTCATACACCTCACTGATAAACCATTTAGGTGGCTAAAATATATTTCGCTGCTGACCCGGTCCACAGCTTCCGTGCCAGTAAAACTCTCTGCTTCTCTAAACTGGGAATACACTGGCCACCATCTACTGCAGGTAATACACGGACTGATATGCTTTCCATTTAAAAACACAGTGAAACATAGCTATGTCTGCCAACAACCATTTGTTTTTTCAACAACTATATAACGACTGCTACAAAAGCTAAACATCTCCCTTACAACAGATGTAGTGAAAAGTCTTACTGCTGTCCTAACTCGAAAAGCAAATAGGCACTAACACAGAGGTGATCAACATTGACAACTGTCAATGTTGATCACACTGAAATGCACTGTAATATAAAGTAAAATAAACTTTTTGAAAGTTTCACTGTTTCAAGTGTCATTTTGAAATAATTACCACTGCATGTGTCACATATCTGTGTGAGTTTTGTTAGCATTTGCTTTTTCAAAATTAAGAACTGTTTTGTACATGAGATCAATGCTCATGTCGAATCAAATTTTCAACTGACAAAAATAAATAAATAAAAAAATACTAAATTGCCTCATCGTTCTGGTGAAAAGCCCACAATGTACTGTAATTAGCTACACTAGTTTTTTTGCACAGCTAGGACATCTTTACTAATGCACTCTTCACAGCAGTTCACCTCACCTGTCCAGGACTTCATCCAGCGTCTCGTATGAGTTTTCATAACACTTGATCCTCTTCATGAAATCTTCCACTGCTTCGTCTGTGTCACAGTTGGTGTAGTCGGGGCTGCCCAGCTTCACTTGCTAAAGCAGAGAAACAGCAGAGGAGTGAGTGCAACTGAAGGTCTATTTTTTTGAGATAAAATAAACTCAAGACACCCACCACTATATTCTCCTGTATGACATCTGGATCTTCACACACAGACTCCACGAAGAACACCTGAGAGAGCGGTGGAACAAACCAAGTTTAGCATCATTGTCACCTAAAGCAGTATCCCAGAACTGTGACCTGGCCAGTTACCTTAAAGCCGTTCTGCTCTGCAAACTGGATGATGGTTTCCCTTCTTTCTCTGGTCGTGTTTGTCGCATCAAAAACCTGCTTAACACAAACAGAACAGAAGTGGACAAGCTTTTAGCAATGCACTCTGTGTTTGACCTGCCTGAAACATGGAAACCAATACAGAATTTTACGTTTGACCCACCGCAACTTGGCCTCCTTCTTCAGTGAGATACTGCCGCACATCGTTTAACGCTGCTGAAGCACACTGTCTATAAAGATCACATCAACTCGGTCATAAATGCCACAACTGTTGGTGGTTAAATAAAATGCTGAGGCAGTCTTGAGGCCAGTTTCCACTCTTACCGTCTGATCTTTAACCCCTCTTCGTTGTCTGGACGGAAGAACTCAAACGACTTGTAGATCTTCACAAACTCTCTCCTGTACTGCCCAACATTGAACTCTATGGGGAAGATGGAGGACAAGGACATGTGAGATCATGTTTCTCTAAACTCGCGATATCGACTTATCGTACGATACACAGACATGACCTTGATCATATTTGCTGACCTCAATGTTGCCCATTCCATGTGTGTTTATTTACATAAGAATGGACGTCGCAACATTTTAGCCAGATGAGCTGCATCTGTCCTCTCGTCTGCTCTCTGTGTGGGACGAGGGCTCAGGCAGCTCCTCCACACAAAGTGCGACCAGCGAAAGTGATACTCGAGGCTATTAAGTGTTTTAATCTGTGTTTTTCCCCAAAGAGTGTGAGAGTGACTCCAGCCAGAAAGCTTGTCACGGCACGGCTGCATCGCGCCATGATTGCGGTCATTCTATACAACGCTTGTGATTTTACCAGACGTGCCACAAGCATATGGGGCGAGTCTATTTTTGACTGAAGCAGCACAGAGCAACAATAAACACAATTAAAACAGACAAAAAACAAAAAAACTATTTAACTACTTAGCCTACTGTCCATGGTAAAAGGACATAAATCAAGGACAAAGTACCAAATTAACAAAATCTGAGCAAGTCGGCAAAATCCAGCAGGCAAAACGCTCTGTTTCTGAAGTGCTCACTGTGGGGCATGAAGCCGTGCAGAGGACAGAACAAAACCGGGTCGCAGAAGCACTAAAAGGCCAACTTAACAGGTCAACGTTGGGCAGCCAAACTCTTCGCTCCTGAAACGCCTGAAGTGGGATTTGAAGCTGCAAAGGGGCGGCTGTTTTTATAATGTATGTAAAAAAATTCAGTTGCCCTTTGAAAGGGTGCACTAGCATTATTATGCTATTATACTGTCATTATTTAAGTGGCATAAAATGCTCTTAAAACAACAATAATATTGTTTATCGCAATTATTTCTGGGACAATAACTCGTCCTCCAAAAGTAGTTATTGTGACAGACTGTGAATCATTTCCCTTCATCCTCTAGAACTGATGTTTCCACAACTGTGCCTTTATTCATCACAGTCTTATCGGCTGACAACCCTAAGAAGACGTACCTCTGGTGGGCACTCCGATCCAGTTAAGATAGCGGGTCAGCTTCTTGGAGATATAGGTCTTGCCCCTGGCAGGAAGGCCCACTGTCACAATCAGTGTGGGGCAGTTGGTCATACATACTGGAATGAAAAAGGGGGAGGGGAGAGAAAGCTTCAGTCATGTGTTTATCAAAGACACACACACACAACGCACATGTAAAAACTGATGTCAGTGTAAAATCTGTAACGCCTCAGTAAAAGTGTAATAAAAGTTTATCTGCAAATATGCCTCCACCCCTTTCAATATCCACCCTTACCCCCTACTAAAGATACACCAATTTAATATCAACACTAGATTGTCCTTATCAGTGTGTGTGTGTGTGTGTAATCCAGAGTTATATGCCATGAAGACACATCACTCTGTTGCCAGCGAGGAGCAGAGGTCACGGTGGCAGGAGGACGTGTCTGAGGAGGACTTGTGAAACGCTTCACTTGACTCAGGACATTAGGAGAGAGCCAACAGGAGAGTTGCAGTGTGTGCACAGAGGACTGGGTCAAAGAGCAAGATAGTTTTTATGGGTGCTAGCTTTTATAGTTTCTTCTTTAAGAACAGCGGAGGGCATGGCAGTCTTGTCCAAACAGGCCTGGTGCATGAAGTTATTCCGACACTGATTTCTCTGACAGATACCTCCCCGGTATGTGAGGACTGTGCTGTGGTACAGACTCTGACAAACAACTTATACCCAGACCCATGGTTCATCTGCATTTTAAAATTAATTGATTCAAACATCCTCTCTCATTCAGGCCACAGTGAGGAGACACAGAGAAGTGACCCGTGTGAGCGCAGATACAAACGCAGCAGCATATCCGCAGGGCAAATCACTCACATGACTGCAGGGATACAATTCCTGTTTACCAACAGCAGAATGCTTGACTTGGCACACAGGGACAATCAGATGGACATCCCGAGTGCCAGTCCTTTCTCCTCGGTGCCAGCAGCCATCATCTGCGTGAACGTCCTGTGGATCCTTACGTAACCGTGTGACCCTGATAGCTGCCGCACGACTTCTGAACTCTATGTAACGCTAAACGCAAGGGGGGGCGGCGTTAATGACTAAAGTTACCGCAGTGTGGGAACGACTGCGTGCTCGCCAATGCGAACGACAAATCTCACACATATCTGTTCATACTCATTAAACTAACGTTGCGGGTGAAACACTGTACACACATATGCTAACAGTTGTCGCTAAGTAACGTTGTCACATACGCACCCTTTCTTTGAGGGATGTGTTTCTCAGGAAGGCCATTTTTACACGGCATCCAGATCTTCTTCAGCGGATTTTGGGTAAGTTCCCGCGGATTCGACGGTGTTCTGTCCTCCATTCCGCCTTGCGGTGAGGTGGAGGCGGCGGGGACACGGGGTCTTTTCCCGTGACGCTGCCCTGAAGGTGACCGGTTTTTCATCCGCGCTGCTGAGCGGTGATGGAGATGGACCGGGGTCGCCCGGTCTTTTCTCTCTGTGCTGTCGTCACGTGCTGCGGTCTGGCCACAGTGGCAAGCTCACGGTCGGCCGTAATGATCGCAGTAGGGGCGCAGCAAATATTCTGCGTAACCGTAAGTGACAGGCTAAGTGCTCAGCCACAAAACACAATCTTAAAGGCTCTACACACCCATGGTCCACCTACACAGGTGTTTTCACTTATTTTGCCAGATTTCTCCTCTTCTCAACACTGTGTGGGCGGGTACGGATTGTGATTGATTCACATCTCACCCAATCTCTTGCCATATTTGTTGGTGGGACAAGTTACACTGTAATTGTTCTTATTGGCGCACTGACTTTGGAGACCATACATAATGTCAAATGCGGCTTCGGACTTCAACCTGAGCAGAGATGTAATCAGCCAGAATGACTCAAAATGCCTGTGTGGGTGTGGACTTTTACCATGTGAATAAGACTGCATTCTGTTTGGCCTTATCATAGCACAGTGGTTTGCTTTAAAGGTTAGTAAATGGTTTATGTCTACCTATTTTGACTATATTTACAAAATGTAATGTTAACACACACAGGTGAGGGGAGTTTTCCTTTGTGTGCTTAATGTTGGTAAAAGGTGGGTCCTACGTGTCACGTTTAAGTCACCCTCAGTCCAAGAAACAGGATGACCTCTGTCTCTCTGGCAGTAGTTCATGCAGCTGTCTTTCCTTTGTGGGCATGACAAAAGCTGGGTAGATTAGGAATGAGTCATCTATGAGCCCAAGGACAGGAGATGTACTTCTTCAATCTTAAATATTTACAGACTGACTCTCTCCGCCTAGAAAGCAATATGACCTCCAGCTCCTAACGTGAGACCGATGAAGACGCCGGAGGAGGAAGCGAGGAAGAGAAAAAGAGAGTGACCAAGCAAGAGACCGAACATGAGTAAACATTGAACTGGCTGTCACTCGTTGGCGTGAGCTAAAAGAGCTGAAAGGATGCAGGACAGATGCCGAGCTGGCCTTCTTGCTGTTGGACTAGTAAGTAATAACTTATTAGCAGGCTTGCTGTGTCTTGTGTTGTTGCGCTTGCTTGATGTTTGGCTGTGTTAGCAAAGTTGTTGAAACCAGACAGAGGTTTTGCCTCTAGCTATAAATCTTGAGTTGCTGTTAGCAAACTTACTAGATACAGACACTACTAGACACAATTGGACATCTGTGACATTACTGTGTGGCTTTGTTGGCTAGCTTGCCACCCAAGTTTCAAGCAGCATTATGCTGCTGCTGGTGGAGAGCGCCGGCGGTGCCGTGCTATAACCGTGCTCAGCAGCCTCCACTGACATAACGTTTATTTTTATTTTTTGAAAACGGACAAGGTACGCTGATCAACATTCAGAGCAAATGTAAGCGTACCCGTGTTAGCCACAGGCTATTTTTCATCGGCAGTCCCCTTGTCAGATGTTATTGGGCATCTTAAAATAGTAAACTGTTATAATACAAAAAATAAATTATACAATAGACAAAAGGTAAAAATTACACTGTTAAAAATCACAAACAATCGAGTAAACAAGATGAGCAGATGAAATCTAAAATAGATTATACAGTTATTGTTGGTGGATGGGACCAGCGTCAGTGCTGATTTTCAATAAGCCATTTTTTAACATTACTACAAATGAGTAATAGGATGGGGACTCTCTAATTGATGGTGGGACTGAGTTCCACTGATTAGCATTAGCTAATGGCAACGGCGAAGAGACAGAAGAGGATGTTGACAGAGGAAGCTAAGAAGAGAAAAAAAGAGTGACCAAGCAAGAGGCTCCCGGACGAATGCGAGATCTTTGTGAAATAAAAGGCTGCAAGACAAACCCTGAGCTGGCCTTCTTTCTGTTGGACTAGTAAGTAATAGTGCTGGATGTTTGGTTATGTTAGCAAAGTTGGCAACTTTCTAGCTTTTGATTGTAGTGTAATCATAACAAACGTGCAAACGTACAGCTGTTCTTATCTACGTCAGCGTTGAATTACACTCTGAAAGGTAGGGGCATCAAGAAAAACAGTTTTACATAATGTTGAGTTTCCTGAAACTTTCTTCATCAATAAGGGTTGATTCACTCACCAAAATGCTCAGTGAATGAATGAATTAAGGAATCAATCAATCAATCTGAAATCAACCAACCAGTTCTTACAAACAACACAATTTAATCATCTAAACTGTGCTGATGTTTTTTGGTCTTCAGATCATTTAAGTCAAATGTATGAGCTTGTTTCTAAATGTGGAAAATGGCTTTCAGTCACACAAGAAACATCTGTGAGTCACTGTGTTTTGAAAAAGGAAGAACTGAACGAGACAACTTGCGGTGTGTCATGAGGACAGACTACAAAGTATTGATTCTGTTTGAAGTAAACTTTTCCTTTTGAGCATTTCTAACAGCTAATTCTAAAAAAAAATGCCATAAGCAGCGGGCATTTTAACATGTCACAGCAGGAAAGGCACAGGTGTAAATAAGAACACATTTTCTTACAGACACTTTCTTACACATGAGCTGACAATCTCCATGAGGTGGCAGCATTACTCTCCCCTTTTTGTGTGTGTGTTTGTGTTGACCTGGGTACTGCCAGTTTACAGGAAACACCTGTAAGGCAGATTTTGTCCAGTGCAAGGTGCCGGAGAATTTGTACAAAGGTGTTTCTAATATTCTGTCCTCTGAACAGAGTGCCTTTCAAATGAATGCAGCTGAGTACGACTCCACCACCATCACAATGGCCTAAGAAATGACCACAGAGATAAGCCCAACAAAAACGAACATTATAAGCTTTCCACAGACAGGATATTTTGCAGAGGTGATGGACTGCACTGCACAGTTGTGCCTGATATAGTGGTAAGTCACTGTACATTTTCAGGTTAAGAGGCCTATCTGTTAACTGTTCCTCATGGGCTATCTGATGCACTGATTATATTAAGCTTTAGAGTCATTCTGGTGGTGCAGTAACAGGGCCCTTGACCTAAATATGGTGAAATGGAGGTTTTCTAATTAAATAGCTCTCAAATTCCCTGACTGCTAGTAGACTATATAATTTATATCAAGTTCATCATGTCCACAAATAAATGGCACACGAACTCATGCTAGGGATGTATTTTTAGCTTTTTCAGCTGGCTAATATAAACACACAGCAGTGCAGAGTTGTGAAAAACCCTTACAAACCTTGGCACATCCTGTAAAGGCCGGTTAGGCAACACAAGGTTATTATTTGGTGGGCTATTTAAAGTAGCTTATCTTATCTGCATTAAGCTTGGGTAGCCTTTCAGAAACAGCAGCAGGCACGCTGTGCATTGATTTGTGAACTGTGAAAAATGTCAGTTCCCAGAGAGGGTAAATGAGGTGTCTTGCATGCTGCACACTGGAACATGAACAGGAAGCAGATCTGTGTGCTCCTCCTCCACCTCCCAGAAGCTGCCAGACTTTGATTGCAGCTAACAGCCCTTAGCCTGTAACGTTAGTACCGGACAAGTCATTTCCCAATATAGTATGTTAACATTATACACTCAAACTAGCATTCACCCACGTGGAGAGGCTCGTGGAGCAGCGTTTAGAAGACATGGATTAAATGCCTTGCATCGCAGCCCAACATGAGCAACAGCCACAAACACAAACAAACAGCCAGAAAACGCAAACCATTAACTGCAACGGCATGTCCAGCATGATCCGTGTGTGGAACATGGCAACAATAATAGCCTATTAATAACTGAGAGGAAACCTGGCAGATCAGCTCCAGTCTGCACGAAGCAATTAGATTGTGGGATAGATTGGGTTTTTTAGCCTACATGTTTCTGCAGCAGCCACCAAAACACCCGTCTGGCTCTTCGTCCTGTGTTAACGCACAACTGCTGCTGTTATAAACAAGGCATGGCCACTGTAAGAAAAAATAAATAAATAAAAACTAGGATTGCTGCCTGTAGTTAGCACTATGTAGGGTAAAGGTCTCGGTGACAGCGCCAACACACCGCGCAGCACGTCGCCTGTTGTTTACGTCTTCAAGGGCTGCACGAACCCTCTCCGTCTGTTAAAGATGCACACTTTTAAGCTCCCGCATGCACGGCTCTGTTAAAGCCCCCCAACGCGGCGTCTCTTACCCGCTCTGCCCTGGTTCTGTGTGAGCTTGGGTCTGCTGGAGCAGCCTCTCATCATGGGCGTCTGTCTGATGGAGCGCAGTGGCCGGCGGTGTGTACGTGCGTCCAACAGCAGCCTGCTGAGCGCTTCCACTGAAGCTGACTGTACACACACTCACCGTGTGACGTGTGTGTGGGACCTCAGACCGGGACGAAGGCTTTCTCCAAAACTGGATGGAGTGAGGTAGCAGCATACCTGCCCCCCCCCCCCGCCCCCCTGCACCCTCCAATGCCCCACCCACCTTTTGACAGTTGGACAATGTCTCCCATCAGTGCTAAGGGCTTCAGTGTTACCCTGTGACACTGATCTATATTTAGGATACTACATACATTTTTAGGAAACGTTACAGCATACACGTACACATCTAAACTACATAGGTTTATTACAGTTCTATAGACTTAGCATAATATATATTCACCACAGACAGTAAGATTTAATAGCAATATTCTGTATTTTGCTTGTATACTTAGGCATGCCTTATAGGACACTCCTTAATAACATACATGTTAAGGATACCAAATATTCACTGGGAGTTTTTTTGTTGCAAAAAAAAAACAGTTGCAAAGCTTCCAAAAGGGCGAGTTTTCCAGGAACAGTCTATCTTGCAGAACGTGTTTTTCTGCACTACTAAAAATATTCACTCCAACAATTTTATTTTGACACAAATAAGCAGAGTACTCTTTAACACTTTATTATGACACACCTAAACCAGCACTGGGGCTGCCAGCCTATTGTTTTTAAAAGTTGTTTTTCTGCGTTGAACCTGTGTGTAACCAAGGTGTGGCAAGGGATCATCCAGAGGAGTCTAGGGCAAGTTTACTGGGAAGTCCTGTACCAGTCACAGGGAGAATGCCAGAACATCCAGTGGAGAGACGGGCATTTGTGATTGAGGCCAACAAGAGATCCGTCGACACTGAATGAGCTAAAGGGTTTCATGGCTCAGATGGGAGAGACTTATATTTTTTGTGCTCAATATTGAGAAATTTCTCAATGTTTGTTTTCATTTTGATACTAAAAAGGAATTTTCCCTTTTAAAAACACCAAGATAATTTATTGATATAAAGTTTTCAAAATGAAAAACCTTTAGGTGGATGTCAGTCAGGGGTTGATTACTGTTTTATCAAGTATTAAATTTAGGTACTATATCCAATTTCAGCTCATTGAACCAGCCGTCTTACCGTGGCAGTACAATGCTATGAGATCATGTAAATCTGGTGGCCAGAGGAAGCACAGACATAGGGTTATTTCAGTGGCAATAATGATACCCTTATCAGCAGCCTGTGATAATGATGACACTAATTGTCGGGCACAAGGGCTGCAACTGCACATGTGTGGATTCATGAGACAATCAGACAATCAAGACATCAAGGATTTGTTGAGGTCTGTACAACAGAAAGGAAACCAACTGAGCATGACAGACTGACTGAACTATTTCAGGCAGAGCTGTCTGTCTTTCACTGTAGCCTAAAGTACCAGTAGATTCAATAAATCAATCTAAAATAAAAATAATTTCTTGTCAAAAACAAATATTTAAAACGTTTTTCTATATCTCCTGTGAATAGTGCTGTAAAACAGACCCCTACTTTACCTTATTAGGTAATAAACACTTCTGTTGTGTTGAGGTTTGTAATCCTCTGGGGAGGGGGGGTCAGTCTGTGGAATAACACAAGTAGGAAGTGTATGACACACTGATATGTCAACATCATTAGTGTAACCAATAAATGCTGTAATCAAGTCTGTGCTCGTCTCCACAAAATGGCTGATGTACAAAGAAAAACCACTGCCTCACTCTCATTTGCAACATACTGTAAAATTCCACCCAGAGACACCTTCTCATTGTCTTATTCTGAGAACATTCATACTTTCTTCTTCAATGTAAGGGAGCACCAAACAACAGCTGAGGGGTCATGCTCTATTTGGCCCACATCTAATCATGGCTGACGTTCACAGCTGGGAGGCCAAGTCATTTTTATATAAGCTTCCCCTAATCTATCCCCTAAATACTGCTGGGGACCGTGTGATCGAAGTAGGGGAAAGGTACTTACCATAACCTAAACATAATAATGTTGACCTTTTCCACCACGGCACAAACACCAAGTCAGATGGCTGCGTCGCAAATAACTACTCCACTGCTGCTATTTATAGCAGCCTCACAAAGCCTGAAAGGCACGATTACAAAAACAATACTTCCCAGGTCCACACAAAAAACATCGTGCGCATGAACACTCCACCTCTTACTTGATAAAGTTTTATTTACAACAGTACGGACAAATGCAATCGCTACATGGAGTAGATGTACTTTAAATGATGGAAGGCTGCACCGTCTTGCTCATGTTTTATTGTGAAGTGAAACTTCCTCCCCATTACTAGAAGCATTTCACCCCCCCCCCTCCCCCACACGCAAACCTTTCTCAAGAGAAGTGTCACAACTTATCTATGTACCACAACCAGCCATTACTCCACTACTGCTTACATAAAACTCTCTGGCCTCACACTCACAGGAAGCATACAGGTTGCATGCTGCCTCTCACAGCTGCATTAAGAGGACCCAGTGTTGATCGGCAGCAGTGAGTGACACTTAATGCTTTGGTAGTACGTGTGTCGTGTGATGCCATTTTATTGATGTTTCTATGAAAAATGCTCCCTTGGGTCATTGTGGAGGCTACATATCATGGACAAGACAGTCAGTGTCAGACTTTGCTTTAATTCCAGAATGGAAGGCAGCAAAAGACAGGCAATATTAAGACAACGCAGGTAATAATGTGTTCACAGTCTGTCTACAGTTGCTTTGTCTGTCTTTGTGTGTGAGTTGCACACTAGTGCATAGTTACAGAGGAGACTTCATATAGACGACCCAGCATTCAAATCCACAAAACAAGACCACTAAAAATACTTCATGTCTGCACACAGACACTCAGACAAACAGGCAAGATCTAAAAATTACATACATACATAAAAGTAATTAAAAACAGATACGTCTTATAAACGTCCATCTCTGACTTTGATGTTTGTTCCTTTGTTGTCCCTTTTATTTCAAGGAACATTTGCTCAACACCCAGTTTCTCCAGAGTCCTGAGCAGGTCTCTACATGATCTTCTCCAGCACATCTCCACCAACAGTCCTCTGTGTCTCACTGACTTTGGCAGACCGTGGACCCACTCTTGGCCCCGGCAGCGGCCTTCTTGCGTCTCTTGTTGAGTAGCGGGTTGCTGGACGTATCGAGATCTTTGATCTTCACCTGGTCGTAGTCCACACGCATGGTGGCTAAAGCGCTGGTCATCTCTTCCTGTGAGAGAAAAGGTTTAGCTGTGTGTTAGTCAGTTTTGGGAGTAACGCGTTACAAAAGTAACACAATTACAGTAATGTATTGCTTTTTGCTGTAACACTAATATAACACACTATTTTTAAAAACGGTAATATTATTTCCGTTACAACGTCAGTAACGCGCGTTACAACGCATTTTAACCTGAAATTAAGTGGTGTGGTTTTTTTTTTTAATAATTCACCAACACCGAGAAACATTTTCGCACCAGAAAATCCATGAGTATAAGAGTAGCGTTATTTCTTGTTGCAGGGTGCAAACTACGGGGGAGCTTGGCGCCTCTTGAGTGTGCAGCCCCCAGCCAATAACATGCGCAGGGTGTGAGAAAGTTATGAATTTGCGGACATAGCGCCAGGAAAAAAATGCTAACATAGCGAGGCAAAGCTCCAAGTGGACCAATCTTGTTCCAAAACGAGAGTGAACCTGGGGTTGACAAGCACTGAATAAGAAGATGGGGATGAAGAGCGACGCGCAGTGGGCCTGTTTTATGACAGTTAGGCACCAGCGGTTAGCTTTGTTAGCTTGCTATAGTATCGGCTTTTTCATTACAACAAATGTGACGTTTCAAAAACAGTAGCTAGCAGACTGTACGTACAGAGAAGTCCTACTCTCAACCAATGTAAATAATTTTACTTTTTGATAAAATAACCCTTGAGGTCTGTCGTGCTGAGCCACGCTGGTTACCGCAGCAGTCCCAAACCATCGTCAGAGACTCAGTGCTAGTGTCTGTAATGAGCTGGTACATAGTTGACGATTACTAACACTTCAGATTGGCAGTTTATTCTTTATCCTAACATTGAAAAACTGCAACGTTTTCATAAACAGCACTGGGCCTGCGCTGCTGGTGTCATTTAGCTTGGGAGGAGAGGCCAACTTGGAATGTTTGTTCACAAACCGTGACCGACAGATCAAACTCATTCTGCCTGGGCTGATCTATGCCAACTGGTTGAAGGTGCTGGAGGGAAAAACAAAGGTGGAAAAGGTAGAGAAAAACCTGTCTGGGAACATTTTTAAGGGTAACCTCTCATTTTATAAATCCTTTTTGAGAAATGGCTGTCAGGAGTACAATCTGTGAAACCTTTACGCAATGTAGCTTTTACCTATTGAAGAGACGAACAATGGTGTATTGTGCGCATATCATTTTGGAGAAATTATCTTTTCATACCATATCACTTCAAACTTGCTCATTCAGCTGTTGTGAAGGAATGCGTCACGCTTTTTGCTCACATTTCCAAAATAATATGCGATTGCACAACTGGGACACTTTGCACAGTAGCCTACTGGGGATTTAACCCCACAGAGACTTGATGAGACCAAACAGTTTTCTTGCTCTTTAAACACACTTCTTTGTGTGTTTGGAAGAAGGGCACAGGGCAGCGGAGGTCCTTTGTGCTTAGTGTGTGTTAAATGTTTCACTGAACTAACTCATAGTATAGACTACAGTGGGGCCTTTGCTTCCCCCTGGTGGCCATTGTGGATCATCAAGATGGTGAGCCTTAAAAAATCTCCACTTTGAAACATTTGAGTTTAATTTACTGAAGGGTGTAAGAAATTCTAAATTGACTTTGCTGGCTTTCGTTTGGTTATCATCGCAACCATTAAAGGAGCGCTACACTGATTTTACACATTAACATCAGTTTTCTAGTCATTAAGAATACTAAGACTGTGAAAAGTGTTATATGTCGTCCGTGGCTCTGGAGGGTTTTTTAAAGGCTGAAAATGACCCAGATGATGTCATAGTGATGTCAACAGAGGTACATATCTAAGCCAGGGCTTGGAGACTTTTTAAATGTAAAGAAAAAACATTAAAAACTGAGGGGGTGGAGCTTTACCCTACATGCAGGGTCTAATTAAAGATGCTCTTAAGTTGCATTATGGCAAATGAAGGATCCAACACTTTTGGAGCTTGCCCCATACTAAAGAGTGAAAGTCAGCATATATCAGACTAGGCTCCATTGATTATGACCATTGTTTTTTGTTTTGTTTTTTTAAATCTGTCTCTCACTAGCCCCTAAACTTTATGGATGTGTAATACTTGCTGGAATGCCCCTGTAACACTGGGGCCAACCGAAAGCTTCTGACAGCCCAGCAGTAATGTAAATGTGTGACCAGAGGGGGTCAGCGTTGCTGTGCTTCTGACCTTCACATCCTCCCACATCTCTCTGTCTTCAGTCAGGACCCGGGTGGTGTGCAGCGGAGTGGAGGGAACCATCATGGACTGCTGCAGAGTGCACGGACGCGCACACGCACACACACACACACACACACACACACACACACACACACACACACACACACACACACACACAGATACCGATGACAATATGAGCAAACAGATGCACAGACAAACAGGAAGCAGTGCAGGAAGTATACCATGTTTATCTGTAACACACAGATACTTACATTAATCCAGGGGTGGTTCATAAACTGAGTGATGGTCATTCTCTCGTTTGGGTCTGTCTTCAGTAGCTTATGGATCAAATCTTTTGCTGGAAGAGATAACAGAGACAAAGATAATAACTATATTAGTAGCAAGACACACATCTTACTGTCTCGTGAAGCTTTTCCTGGTTTTAGGGACAGACTGGCCTACTTACAACAGCAAATAGGATTAGAGAAGAGTGAGACTGAGTGAAACAGAAAAACGGCAGTATGTGCACAGAGTCACACCTTGCTGCTGGTTCGGAGGAGGATGTCGGCTGTGAGTTGTCTGTAAAATGTCTCATAGAAGAGTTTGGACACTATCATTCGCTCTAAGTTTTTCGCAGTGTAAAATCAACAGTCTGTGAGTGTGGGAGGTGAACCAGAGTGACCTTCAGGGCAGCACTATACTTCCAACAAAGGCAAACAGAGACCATAGTTTACCTAAACCATAGTAGAAATATGTTGTCTGTTTACAGACACTGCACTTAGGTGAAGGCCCATGAAGATTAAAGAGGCACGAAGATGTAAACTGAGGCTGTCTAAAAGCAAAGTGCAGTGCTTCCCCCAGACATGATGTAATATATGTGTGACCAGCTGCAGCACGCACTAGGTTTTCTATATGAGAATGTCTGACTGGGTCATTCAGTAAAGTGGCAGAGTCAGTGCAGCACTGCTGTCTTGTGGTTTCCTGTTTTTTGCAAGGGGTGCTGCAAGCTTTACAGTGTGACCATGTCCACACCGATGCATGTAAATAATACAATGATGCTTGGTTACTCTGCTTGATCTCAGCAGAAAAAAGTTCCCTAGACACGTTTGAAAGTATATCTTATTACTCTGCTATGATTAATACTTTCTTTAACATTAAAATGAAAGAGATGGAAATATATCTACTCTTTCTCCCTCATTGAGAAATCAATGAATTCCCCGGCCAACACCACTGCTTGAGCTGGGTTGACTGGTGGAAAGAGTGCTGCGCATCAAGCCTACAGCCTACGTGTCTGAGCCTCAGTCAGACTCAGATGAGGATGGTAAGTGCAGATAGCATCTTTAATTAGTTTATGCTGTTTGTTAGCTACTAACTTGCAGAGGTTGACACAGCATTGGTGGTTGTGAAACATACAGAAATATCTGTTATGATGTTACAGTGCATTCACATCAATAATACGTAGTAGAAAGAAGCTCCAGAGTCCAGTTTGCCTTTGCTGTTAAAACTAGTGCAAACTCTCACTCTCTGTACTGACAAGTCTAGTCTGCACTGGAGGTTTCAGGTTTCTTTGCTGGTTGAAGTTGCTACATATCTCATCCAGTTTGCCTGGGGTACGTTTGAATCTCTTCCCCTCACCTTCCTGTGACACCTCAGCCCACTCTGGGTTGGGGAATTCATACTGGCCCATCCTGATCCTCCTCTTCATCCCCGGAGAAATGGCCTGGCCCGTGTTGGAGTAAAATGGAGGGAAGCCACACAATCTGCAGAGACAAACATGATTCAACTACGCTTTGTTTGAAGGAATCCATGTTAGAGCTCAACCCAGCGGTGGCTTTTCACTCCCGTCCAATCCCACTCCCACAAAAATACTCCCCTCTCAGCCCAATCCCATGAGTCAATCCAAAATCCTGAAAAAATGAGTCCCACCCCGTTCCCAATGAAAAACTCCAAAAATAGCGTTTATTCATATTAGAAATGCATATTTATATATAAAAACTGACCTATGATTCCCGTCCCAACCCCACACCCAGTACTCACAGGATGTACATGATGACTCCCAGAGACCACATGTCACATGACTTGTCGTACTTCTCTGGACCCAAAACCTCAGGAGCTTATCATTGGCGAAACACAAACACACAGACATAGATAAAAATTGTAATTGTGGTAAATACATATTTTCTCCCATTAAAACATCTGTCAAAGCCCTGTAAACAGTTCATCTGTCAGGAACATTAGAAAGGTTTGGAAAATAACTTAAAGACACTTACCCACATAATACGGTGTATAACAGGGGGTCTGTAGAGGGTTGTGTAGCGTTGTCTCCTTAGCAAAGCCAAAGTCTGTTAATTTGAGGATTCCGTTTTTTTCTTTACTAGTGTACAGCAGGTTCTCTGGCTGGTTAGGAGGCAGAAAGAGAAGGAAAAAATTTGACACACTTTCCTTGAATGACCCAGAACTGAACACTCTTCATGATTTGGGTGGTGATCGTGATCTTTCTGCACCTTGATGTCTCTGTGCGCAATGTTAATGTTGTGGAGAAAGTCAATAGCCGTGCCGATGTCTCTCATGATCTCAGAAGCCTCTGGGAAGAAAAGAAAGAAAACCCACTCTCTCAAACCAGCCTCGCACAACAACAGAGACCATGTAGAAGAAAGGAACAAACATACTGTACTCTGTACTTTCCTGTCTAATGTTATCCAAGATGTCTGCCTTATTTCCCTTTTTTGTTCTTGGGAATTATGGCTCATTCTTTCTCTCTAACATCATGTGTTTATTACAGTCCATCTCTCCGTCAGTCCTCACCTTTCTCAGTAAAGGCCTGGTCACCTCTGGCCTGGATTCGGCTGAACAGCTCTCCTCCCTCCATACTGGAAACACATACACAATTAACATATTGTATAAATGACACTCCAGGGCATAATATCACCTGTATATCCCACATCTAATTTCAATGAAAGTTAATAACTAAGCAGATGCCGATTTTGAAGGGAAAAGTACCAAAATATTTTTATTTAAATGAACCAACAGGGATTATTTTGACAAACAAAAACAGTAATATGGCTACTATTTGTTTCCTCTTTAGTCTCACTCATTTATGGCTTTGATTACAAAATAATAATTTACTGTATAACAACACTAAAGCTGATGGATTTTTGTACTGGAGACCTATGACCCAGTTCTTTAAAAGTTCACACACTCTCACCACCAAAAACGTTACTGTCACTCACCCACTCCCCATTTTCACAACCTGATGCCTGGAACTCTCCCTTCAGGCCCTGTGTTTGTGCCAACTGAGATGTGGCTGTGCATTAATGTGAATTATGTAAATGGATACTTATCGTGGTTGATGAGCACACAGGTGCACACCAGATAGCTGAGAAAAAACTGTGAGTGTGGCTGTGTGCTGCTGACTGCAGCGGGCTGTGCTGCCGTCATCCTTTGGCCCTCGCTCGTACAGGAAGCAGCTCACAGCAGTAAGAGATTACTGAGAGTGCGCACACACATACACACGCACGCACACATACAAGGCCGCTACAAACCATCCCACACAAATTGTTGTCTGTGTCAAATGCGATGATTAGATGAAGTTAGTGACTGTTCAAATTTCCCATGAACAGGAGTGTAATTTCTCTCACCCTCTGTGGTTTCTCCATTTTCCTCTGAATTATAATTTTCCATTCACAGGCAGGGGCAATAAAATGCACAAAGTTCTTTTTATTTATGCATGTCAAAGTACACACACTGTCTTTGGAGTCACTCGAGGTATTATCATGGACAGGCTATCATGACATGTGAAGCCCAGATGGAATTAAGTCCCTCTGTCCCCTGGTCAAAAATAAGTGCTCTTAAAGGCACTGAAAATGTACTAGAAATTCACATAGTATGCTTATAGTACATTCATACTCCTAACATGCTTACTACAAGTATATTAAAGATATATTCTCTTGAGCTTTAACATACTTCTCAAAAGTATACTTTGAATAAATTGGTAATAAATATATACATAATTAAACTTTAATAAACATGCTTAAATAAAAACGTAATGTCTTGGGAACTGTTGGGCTTCTGTAAATATCATCACAGAGTATGGTCTAGACCTGCTCTTTTATGAAAAGCGCTGTGAGATAACTGTTGTTGTGATTTGGCGCTATATAATAAAATTGAATTGAAAATTGAATTGAATAATTTCGCAACACTTTATTTATTAAAAATATATTTATTTAACTCTTAGTAAATAATATTTAGGTATATTTTGTGGAAGTACATTGTTACACAATTACACTTTTAGTGGGTTAAAACTTACTGCCAGCACCGGGGAATGAGAGGCAATCTGGACTGACATATATCTAATATCTATTTTGATAATTTTGTGACATTTAATAAAGCATAACGTTATTACAGCGCAGTGATGTTGTGCTAAGTTATAGTTTTAACACAGCCGCACCGTAACTATAGTCCTGCTAGTGTTTACAGGCAACAGCTGATGAGAGTTTTTCTGGGTCCACTTCAGAGTCCTGACAGATTCCTACCGGGAGCTGAATTACCACAGAGGTCGTCTCCTCTTCAAAACAAACAGACCCGGACATTAAACCATTAAAACACAGCCACATAGCAACGTTAGTGCTAGCCCTGTGATGTTAATATATAGATTTTACTCATGGATAGGTGTTAGGCTACTGTATGAATGTTAGGCTGCTCTTTCAAAAGAGTGACTTTTCCCATCACTAGAATCAAGGTTTTCAAATCGACGACCCAATCACACAGTGTGAAAGACGGCTTTCACGCTAAAATGTCGGTAATATACGATCTCAGTAACCTGTTGCTGGAATTTGATGCATGAGATTTTAACAAGGCAGGCCTGTGCATGTGTGTGTGTATGAGCCCTCAATTCTGCTTTTGCACTGTTAAAATGACCAATGAGGTCTTTATCAGAGTAATAAATGCAATAAATATGTTGCTGTGTGTGTCCTAAAGAATAGGTTCACATTTTTATAGTCTACCTTAATACTCACATGTCCACGTTTACAGTACGTTATTCACTGTAATCATTATTCCTGCCCATATAGTCTGTAAAGACGTTACCACAGCGGTCATTTTTGTATAAATTCATACTAAGGTTTAGCTATAGCTACTATGAATCATCAGCTAAGCATCTGCGTTAGACTATTCAAAAGTGGATATCTTCTAAAGGTACACTGTTTTTTAGAGATTTCTCTTCACAACCATGGAGGGGGTAATCATTACTGTGACCAGTAACTCAATTATAAAAGCAATGTCAAAGCGTACACGTGTATGTGAGAATTGTTTTAAGACGCGCTTGAAATAATGTTTTTGTGTACTGCAATGCCTGACCACACATATAATAGCATGTGATGTTATATAAAATACTTTATGTCCATTTGTATGGTCATAGATCCTGTATTCAACTTTTAAAAGTTGAACCTACCGTTTGCCAACTTTAACCTACTTAATGCTAAATCCAGAGTTGGAACTTCCTGCCTTAGCTCAAGAAAATTAAATAAAGAATAATAATAAAGATTTGCTATAAGAAGAGAATTACAGTGTTTATAATGATCTGCAAATGAAGAACTAAACTAGGTGGAAGTACTGGCCTAACTGAATATTTAAACTCATTTGCAACTGCTTTTCTTTTCTTTTAGAGCTTCCTGGGATCGTTGCCTCACTCAAAGATGGCTTAGAGGCCACGAAGGACCAGCTGGACCCTCACAAGCTCAATGTGCTCATAGGTATCTCTGGCTCCTGCACGCGATCACTGTTTTTGCTCTCACTACATGTCAACAGGGTCAGACTAAATAAACAAATATTCTTTTGAAAAAAGAATTTTTTAAAAATATTTTAAATAAAATTTTAAAATATTGTTATACATTAAGTAATTGGCTACTTTTGTACTTCACAAATTGGCTGCTGTGTTAATGTGAAATGTAGACAGAACAGTTGTTAAGTAAGTCTGAATGTTTGTGTTAATTGTTGTACCTGTTTAATAACATTTTATCATATACATTTCCTTGGATGAATGTACAGTAGTGTTTATGTAATGTTTTTGATCATGTTGTAATGGAAGAACTGAGCATTAACTTCCCTTGTGGAAAACCATTTCACCTGAACCTAAACAGTTAGCATCAGAACAGTTAGACATGATGTCATATTGTGTTTCAGCAGCTTTAAACAAAATAAAAAATCTGACAATGGTTTTTAGTTAATTAGAGGTAATATTGCTTTGATATAGACAAAATAATTCCTTTTCTCTTCCACAGATGCTGTGTGATAAAGCAGTTTCCAAATCCCATAGTGTCTACAGTCGCAGAAAATGCAAAGAGTCCTACTCAAAGATAACCGACCCTCCACTCCAAGGATAAGGATTGTGACATTTTTCAGTTACAGTTTGGTTCCACCATTTGTACTGTAAGCTTGTGACGGAGTACCTTCACTACAGTTGAGTAAGCACTTGGACTGCCATACCAATGAGCCTGACTCTTTGGCACTGCTCTCAAAGTTGCACGTTTGGTACCCTGTAGACCTGTGTTTGAATCTGGGCAGGGTGACTGCTCCCGCCTTTAGCTGCATATGGTGTCAGAAGTGGGATGGCTTGCCGTGAGGTCATCTGAGCCGTGCCCAGTGTCCAAACCATATGAGGGACCCCCATGGGTAACATTAATGATTGGATGTGTATAGTGTTCTTTTCAGTAATACTGGTCATATGTCATCATTTCACTGATTTTTATTTTTATTTGAAGGTTTTTTGGTCAAGAAGTGATGATGCTGTACCTTTTAATGTACAAGAATTTATTTTTGTAATGTCCACAAAATTAAAGTTTTTATTTGTCTGTATTTGTCAAGGTATTTTTAATGCATTAATAATGAATTATTCTCATATTGAATGGTTTCATAAAGCAGCTTCCCAAGATATTAATAGTGGCTCTTGGAGTATACTAGTAATAAATTACTAATAAGCTGAAATGCTAATAAAATTGTTAAGGGAACACATTTATGTGAAGTTTAAAATATATTTACTTTAACTTTTCAAGTATAGCACAAAAGGGTATTTTAACCTAAATTTAAAGAAGTATATTTAAATTAGTAAAGGTACTTAAAGTGGTTCCAGTTTAACACAACTAAGTATGTTAAAATATACTGCAATTATCTTAAAGTTGACTTTAAGTATTTCTAAAATGACACTTAACATACTTTAAGTTGTTCCAAAATAACACATTTAATATACACTTAGTATAGTACAATTAAAATGTGATAAGTGCATCCAAAATAAGTGCTACTTAAGTATATTTCTTTTTCACCTGATCGGGTGACTGACCTTTAGCAAGTATTAATGTTCTGCCCTTAGTGGCACAAAGCGTCTACTTTTGTCTCAGCTGACACGCATGAGGCTTTACTATGCGTGAAAATATAGTGAATAAAATTATAAACACTTTTGTTTTTGCTCCCATTCATTTTGAGCTGAACTCAAAGATCTAAGACTTTCTCTATATAAACAAAAGGCCTATTTCTCTAAAATATTGTAATCTGTGTTAGTGAGCACTTCTCCTTTGCCGAGATAATCCATCCACCTCACAGGTGTGGCATATCAAGATGCTGATCAGACAGCATGACATTGCACAGGTGTGCCTTAGGCTGGCCACAATAAAAGGCCACGACCTTCAGCCATCTCAACATGGTGGAAAAAACAAATGTTGTCAGTTGACGAGGAGGAAACCACATACTGAAAAGCACACCGAGCGTGACAGGAAACATTTTAAATCCAAAGGTTTTATTTCTAAATTTTTCCCATATTTATACAGAAAATAACAATTGTGGTTCACATAAACCTACTGGAAAACCGTGAGGTTTATACTGAAGCCACAGTTTTAACTTTAAATGTATATTGTGATTGTGTGCTGATCTGTGGAGATGGCAATATCTTGTTAAAGAAAATCTGTGGTGTTACAAGTCTTTCTTCACCACAAAATTTATGTTCTCTACTTATCACCAACAGATGGAAAAATTCCAGTGGAAACCTGTGGAAACTGAGTTCAGCGACTGTAACTTCCCATTTTTCGGGTCAACTGTTGACATTAGTTCAGAAAGTTCCTTTTTAATATCCTTTTTTTATATGTGCTCCTGTACAAAGCTGTGGCTTATGGGAAATTGTGGTCACTGTAAGCTCTGTTGCCAGCTTTGATATTAAATTGCAGGACTCAACTTTTCAAGAATTCATTTGGACTGAATTTAATCCCTCAGTTTATCTGATCATTTACACTAAAAATCACCAAATATGGAGACATGATAAGAAAATAAATGGTTGTTAAAGAAAGGTGATCTGATAGGTCAGGGTGTGTATACTGATGAGTAGAGGGGGTGAAATGTGAATCATACCACTCCATGATGATGAGCAGGCACTTCTTCCCATGATGCATGTTCTCATACAGGCTGAGGATGGGAACAATATACGGCCCTCCTGATACTCGCCAGTGGAGCTCCACCTCTCGTCTGGCTTTGGGACTGTCGTAGAGAACCTGGGAGACACACAGAGAAAATGAAGATTACAGAATGAATCCGTGATTAATAGGAAATTATTTTTGGGGCATGACTGGACTGATGAACTCAATGTATTAATTTCTATTGCTAAATTCCACACTGGTTTCAGTGGAATTACATTGGTTTTATAGATAATCATGTTATAGGCCTCGTTAAACAAACGTCTGTTGTCCAGGTTAACGATTCTGAGCAAACTGTAGACTAATCAACAACTAACAAAAGTTAAGTTGGATGCTTTTAGTCTCATGTAATGAATAACAGAAACATATGACTTTGAATATTGATTAGTGTATCAACAGTAGTGTTGTAGTACTCGAGACCTTTTGATGGTCTTGGTTTCGTCTCGGACTCGACCGCATTTGTACTCTGTCTTGTCTCGGTCTCGGACATTGAGGACTCTGGATTTTATTTCAAGACCAGTCAAGACCATAACTTAAAGAGGTACTATTATGCTCATTTTCAGGTTCAAAATCTTAATTAGGGGTTGTACCAGAACGGGTTTACATGGTTTAATTTTCAAAAAACGCCATATTTTTCTCATACTGCACATTGCTGCAGCTCCTCTTTTCATCCTATGTGTTGTACATTCCGCTTGAGCTACAGAGTGATGCATCTTACTTGTACAAAATCTTTGATGGGAGTTGCACATGCGCAGTTCCCAGGTAAGGACTACTAGCCAATCAGAAGCAGAGAAGGGCGGGTCGTAAGAAACAAGGTAGTGTGATCCAAATCAAAGCCGCTTCAGACTGAGACCATAACCTAGCAGATGGTATAAGTTACTCACAAGTCCACAACCACACAACATCATTGTTCCACATCTTACCATTAGGACTAAACGTTGAACTGTTGCCGGTGATCTGACGATCTATGCTGCCTTGCTGAAAAATGCTGCCATAGTGCAAATCTATAGACTCGACTCTACTCGGCCCTGCTCCGTTTTCCATTACAGAGAGTACCCAGAGATAGTACGTAGCTTGTCGTCATAGCGACGCCACACACAATTGCCTCGACGTAATGTTCAATGCGACACACACACCAGCTCTTAAAATATATCTACGGTTAAAACGTTTCAATATTACTCAGAATGTAAAGACAGACAAGCGGTATGAAAACCTTCCAGCTGTGTTTTCCTCTGCCGTTGTTGCTGCGGTCTGTGTGAGGGCCTCGCAAGCTCCCCCGCAGCCACCACCGAAAATATTCAAGCATTTTTGTTCTGCCATCACTTCTCGTAAAACTGTCAATATTCGAAATCTACACAGCTGATTTCTCACCTCAAAACCTCTCAGAAGTGGATTTAGTGATGAAATTCCATACAAAAACTAAAGCTTTCTGTTGCTGGCCTCACAATGATGATGCAGTGAATAGTGAATATTCTCTCTGACCAATCAGCATTCGGCTGTGTTTTCACGTTACATTTTAGTATCCCTCAGCTCGCTTGGAACGGGGGTGAGGTGATATGAAAAAAGGGAGATGGGACCTCCCTTTGCGCTGGACTTTGGGCTTTTTCACTTTGCAAACCTGTTACAAGCACAAAAAAAGAGATATAACTCAATAAAGGAGAGGGGAAAAGCCAAAAAGCATAAAAGCATAAGCCTCTTTAACATATACTATATCAATATTGCTTTTGTATTGTCTGATGTATTTGTTAACATCCTGACTTTGATTGGATGTAAAACGTTTGCTTCAATTGCTACAAATAACACTATTTAAAAATGTGTTGTTACCCCAACGACCGTCACCCCTCCCCGCGATGGTAAACATGGAAAAGGAGTGTCAAATAAAGACGGTTAAGTTGATTTCAGTTCTTAGTGTTTGTATATGGGTGTTTTAATGTGAATGTGGATCTTTCAGATAAATCTGAGAAGTAGCCTACATATGATCTCGTTCCACATTTTTTTGTGTGTCATGCAATGTGGGGAAATGGTCTTAATCTTGACTCGGTCTCACCCTGGACACTAATCAACAGAACAAGCTGCCACTATTTTGATAATCAATTAATAGTTTGAGTAATTTTCCAGGCAAAAATGCCAAGCGTTCTCAATTGTGAGGATTTGCTGCTTTTCTCCTTTTTACATCATTGCACATTCAATATATTTTAAACTGTTGGTGGGACAGATCAAACAATCTGAAGATGTGACTTTGGACTTCTTTTTATTTACTTTATATTCTTAAATATTTTATAGTATAAATGACTGGATTAATCTAGAAAATAATAGGTAGATGAATCTATAACGAAAATCATCATTAGTTGCAGCACTCAAGTTGACATCATAAAGAATCTATAATCTATAATACCTTAATGAAAATTGCAACGGTATCACTTAGACCCATTACAGCCTCTAAAATCCCTCAAATCTACAGCATCAATGTCAGATATTATCGTTATACTCATTTGATCAACAACAAACCTCTTTTTGTGTAGTCTTACACAGTTAATTAATCATTAAATTTGTTGTTTTAGTTGGTGAAAAGGGAAAAAACCCATTCGGTGGTGTAGATCCAGTAACAGAAAAAACAAACTAAAGCTTGTAATAAAAACAATAACGGACCTTTTGACAGTCTACGTGCAAGCTGTCACACAACAGGGTGTGTGTGTTCAACATAAGCGGATCCACACGCACACTCACACACAGAGCAGGTGGCAGACCTTGACATAGCACACATCTTCAGTCAGTGTGTATTTTTACATGTGACAGTGATGGAGTGGTATGCTGCTGTTCCCAAGGTTGGTCTGGTCACAGATTGAGCCTGGAGTACATAGCACACAGAGAGGCTGACTCATGGACGTATGACAGACACACACACACACACACACACACACACACACACACACACACACACACACACACACACACACACACACACACTTAACACGTGTTTAGGTGACTTTAACATTCTCAAACTGTAAAAGGAATATTTATAAAATTTCAGATTCACTTCTAAGTGAGGAATTATAATAATTTCACATTTCTCGGAACTCAAAAAAGAGCTCATAGCGTTGTGTTTTTTCTTGTTCTCGCTGATCAAAGAGGAAGTGAGGGCCGAGTGTTTCAGAGCAGTAGGGTGTTGAAAGTAGAAGTTGAGGGTTTCCGGAGACTTGTGTGTCTAATCTCTCAGTACGTAGATCCTATTTTAAAAAGCAAACAAGTGGGCCGATTTTTTTTGCTATGTCATTTATAGCTTTATGACTTATCAGATCAGACCGCATGTGAGCTGATTTCCTTAATATCCTGCAATGAACCAGAAATTGGCCACAATAAAAGTGGACTGTGTGGATTTAACACACATATAAAACACCGAGGGAGAGTCAACAGAGAGAATGAGACAGACACAGTTAATCTTCTGATGGACACTTTTCTTATGTGAGGCGACATCATGGAGACTAAACGCACGCTTGTCCCTGATCCTGCTCTAAGCCGATCAACCACATCCTCACACTCACCTGAAACCTTCTCCTCACTTCTCACACACATCTATATCGCGCCGACGATGTTTACGCTCTATTAAAAATTAGTGGCTGTCACAGCGCTGGTCTGTATATCTTGATAAAAACAGGTGGTTTATCTTTACAACCTCTACCAATAAAGAACTGCTCATGAAGTTTATCATAAAGTGGTCTAGGAAGTGGTATACAGTTAATAAGTGTTACACATTGTGCTCTAATGAGTGTCTATACCTGCCTTGTGCACCAATAACAATGCTGTACTGCTCCACTACATTTAGCTTATGACTAAAATCTAATAATTTAAATATATTATATCATTGGTGCTTTTTTTTAAAAACAGTTTTTACCAACACTTAAAGAGTCTACTCCATGGTAGTGGCTCTGTAGGCTGTACTTATGCAGTTGAAACTTCTGACCTCAATGCGTTCCAGGTGCATGGTGGTGCGTGACGCCGAAAGTGAACGAAAACCATGGCTGACCGTGACAAAGTGTACACGCAGTTGCACCCTCAGCAGTGCTTTAGGTGTTAATTAAAAGGATGGCAGTTTAACTGCAACAACTGACATAAATAGCCTATACGTTACTAGGTCTGTGTACCCCTCTGGCAAGTTGGTAGCCCTCAAGTCAGTCAATGTTGTAGGTTAAGCTTCCTAATGTTTTGGCATTTTTAACAATAACTTTTATGCAGAGAAGATGACTTTATGAGATTCTTTTCTGTAGCCAGCTACCTAATGTGCAAAACATATTTCTACAACAATATACATGCAGAACAGGTTTTACTATATGATCGTATGTATTATTTTGATTTAAATACATGCACCTATACGTTTTGTTGCCTTTTAGTTTATGGTTTACCATTTACATTGTGTGCTTCCATGGGCGCCGACATTATTTTGTGACGTCATTCAGCTGCTACTCGTGAAGTCGGGGTACATATTTTTTCCCCGAGTTCACAAGTAGGAAATCCGACTTAAAGTGGCGTTCCACAGGACTTCCTAGTTGGAGGACTGAAATTTCCCAGTTCTGAGTTGCCTGGAACACAGCAGCAGGCACAGCGATACTTTGAGCTGAATGCTCAACATCAACACGCTCACAGGGACTATGCTAACACGCTTGTGATGAGCAAGTGTAACATCTACCATGTTCACCATCTTAATTTAGCATGTTAACATTTGCTAATTAGCACTGAACACAACGTACAGCTGAGGTTGATGGGAATGTCATTGACTTTGCAGTTATTTGGACAAATAAAAAGTTGGAGCTGATGACCTGATCAGTAGGATCTGTCCTCTGGGCTCCATGAATGTCTGTAATTGACATGGCTAAAGATTGGAATATTGTTGAGATATTTCAGTCTGGACCACAGTGGAGAACTGAAAATTGACTAAACGTTCTGCTCAAGGAAGGAAAACATCCAAAGCATATTCTTGCATGTTTTTCCATAACATCCAAGGTAAACTTTGTACAAAGATCCTTAATCTACAAAGGATCTCCTGTTGCATTGTTGTTTCCGCCATACTACAGTCAAAGCAGAAAAGGAGCTTGAATTGCACAACAAGCATCTGAAGCCTCAAAGTCAATGGAGACTTTTAAACCCAAACCTCTGAGACTGATTAACTATTTTAACAGCACCGGCACAAGACCTGAGGGCAGTTTTCACACACAGGATTTCTTCCATGCAGTGTCTGACCAAACCACTGAGACAAACACGCGTCAGTTTGGTCTCTGTGGGTCTCAGAGGAAAGCCAGATGTGACACCCGTGTGCCAAAGGGCTAACCACAAAGTTGAACACACACAGTTATGATGAAGGGATTTTGACTGAGTGGAAATGTGTACACAGACCTGTTGCTTGTAAAGCTTTCTGTGCGCTAAGCTGGAAGGCTCTTCAGGCGCTAAAATGGAACAATCACCAGCCAAATATGTGCTGTCAATGGTATTAACAGTAAATGGCGGCGCTGAAGAGGTGTGCCATGCATCTCAGGGCTCTCCCAGGTCTGTCTCCTCCCAGGAGTCAGACAAATTCAAGTTAAAAGAACCCTAATGACTGTAACTGAATTACATTAAAAAGGTGGCTCCCCTCCAGCTCTGCCGCAAAGTGGATTAAACCAATACCCATCCATTACGTTTAGCGCTCAGAGCAACACTTGATTAAAAAGCCAGTGAGACAGTCAACTCTCCTCACCCCCCTCCACATCAAACACTCTTGATTATTTCCTTTTGCCTACTACTTGTACATATACAGGAAAAGTCGTAAATTAGCCTAAATGGCAATAAAGCAGAATAAAAACTCCATCAGGTCCACTCAAACTGTCACAGTCCAATTCACAAGCAAACCAACATGGACGCCAGTAGAAGCTACAACAGAGAAGGAGGTCATTTCATGAGCGGTTTCTTCGTCATCTCAAACCGTTTAACAGGGTCATTAGAGAGCAAAGGGGTGTGAGGTACTTTCTGAAAGCTGGGGTTACCCTGACCTGCTGTTAGCTTTCTCCGGTGGAAACTGAATAAGCTCTGAATGAAAATAAATTTCAGATTGGATTCAGCAAGTAGCCCGGAGATATTTCAGCAATGTACAAATTGTTAATCAATTCTCTCTCGCAGTCTGACATGATGCTATCAAGCATCCTATCCCTCTTGGCTTTAGGTGTTTTGTTTGTGACTTCCTATTTTCTGCTGCAGTTCATCTCTTTTTCTGTCCCTGGGTCTACAGCTCTGCTTGTGACACTGCCTGGTTTGGCAGCTCAGATCCAGATGGATTACTGTAAACCAGTAATCTGTGGCCCAGAGTCTGTGGCCCAGTGGTGACAGGTGACAGCCTGACAACCCATGCTTGTATGCGTCAACGTGTGTATGAATGTGTGCCCAAATTCCTACTGCTCCCGGAATAAGGTGCCACTGTCAAAATCCATGTGCCTCTATGAAGCAGCCTAACGTTTCATGCTGAAATTCCAGGAAACACAGCTCCATGACCACATCCACCCTGTCCAAACGTAGAACATGGGCACCATGTACAGTACGTCATAGCTTGGAGGTGCATGTACACCAGTTATAGTCTTATTAATAAGCTTCAGTGCTACTCTGACTCCTGTTAAGTCTGTGACAGAAATCTGACCTCAGCAAAGGTTAAAGTGTTTGAATCTAGGCTACAGACTTCACTTATAAAGTGAACCCACTTTATAACTTCCAACAAGATCTTAAACACAACATTGTACAGTTACGCTTGTTTGCATTTAAACTACCAATTCATGATCTAAATCTAAACAGATGTGTCTAGATTCACCATCAAATTTTGAAATAGGCTACTCCTCTGCTGCAGCTGTTACTCCAAACTGATTAACAGGACTGGACACTAAACAATGACAAACTATTTCCAGACAGTCAGAAATATCTTACATTGACTTTATGTGTGTAAGCACACTAGTAAACCAGGTGTAGGCTATTTTTCAATTCTGGTGGAAACACACAAAAGTTCTAAATGATGCTGAAAGTGAATATATTTGAACTGTTTACTTTGTAGTACTGACTAGGCAAACTGAGTTTTACTTATGAGGTGTGTAAAGTAAGCTGAGGGGGTCAATCCTCTACTGCTCTGTTAATAACATACTCTTAGGTGTCAGGTGACTTCAGTACCTTCAGTGCGCACTTCTCTCCAGTCTTCTTGCTGAAGCACTGAAGGACTTTGCCATTGATCCCTAAGCCCAGAACCTGACTGGAGATCTTATAATCGTCAGTCACTGCGTTGCGCTTTATCTCCAGTTTGGGATAAACGGGTAAGGGGAAGTGTGTGGACCCGCCGTCCGCGTCCTGTCCGCCAGCAGCTGCGGCGGCGGCGGGAGCGGGTTCCTCCTGCTTCGGGTCCTCAGCCGGTGAGTCCGGCTCTGCCTCAGCCCTTGGCGCTTGCAGCGGTTCCTGCTTTTCGTTTCCATTTTGTAGCATGTTCACGCAGGTTTGATATCGCCAGCGACTACTCAGGAGAAGAAAGCGTGAGTAATTCACCAAAGTAATGCGATGACTCCTGCTGCCCTCCGGTAATTGCGTAAAGCTGAGAGGAATCCTAGAGCACGTCTGCCTGTCCCGGGCACCGCAGCGCGTGTAAGGACTCCACACAGTAATTCCACTGTATCTACAGTATAACTTATAAAATAAGCCTTGTTTAATCTACACAATAAAACATTTTCCTCACTTAACTTAAACTCCCGCCTATTTATTTGAGAACTAATCTGTCAACGCTGTCTCTTCAGAGAAATCCCGATATGTAAGAACATCCGAATGTTGTTTAACTCCAGGCAGAGAAGACTTTAACAGACAGCAGCGATGATGATATTCTGGTGATCTCAGTTTCCCGTTGACCGGGAGTCCTTAGGTTGCGCTCACATGGCCAGTCACTGTCACTGCTCGTTTAAGCGCCACCCTCCTACAGTTTAGTCTCATTTCTCAACAGGCCCTATGTGGCCGCCTTAAAGGAGCAGGACGTACAGTCACTTCAGTATGAAGTGGGCACTGTGGTGACCAAGAGAAGCTGTTTGTTGTCTTAAGAGAGTGAAAAGTAGATTTAGAGCTAAACTCTAATCTGGATGTCTGGTCCTGAAAAGTTACAGTATGTTGAACCACTGCCAAGTGACTTTATGAAAGGAAATAATCTTACATAACATTATTACACTTATATGTACTGTGAGAGACAGTTTATTACCAGACCTAAATAAGACTTACATTTAGCTTTTTAGTGACATCTGGTACATGTAGAAAATGTCTATCTAAGCAACCACAACTGCAATCATGAGCGTTGTTTGCTGCAAAACAAAGAAAGGTATAAAGACAGGGTTTTTTCCCCCGCTGCATATGAAAAAGTGTGTGTGTCTGTATTTAGTAGTCCAGCGCACAGATGAGGGCGACTCCCCGTTTGATCCAGTGTCTCTGACTGCGATCTGTAGGCAGCTCCACCGCGATCACATAGTTGGTGGAATGACCGGTTGTAGACAGTGTCCCTAGAAAAGCACACGAAGTAGTTCAGTGACATGAAGACATTTTAAACTGTTTGAATCTTTCCATCACCAAGTGTTTCTGAGCAGTCTCACGCGCCAGCATAAGGTGTTGGCTGCGTGCTGTGGGTGGAAAATACAGAGCTGCACTTTCAGATGCTTCGTGAAACAGGACACTAACTGGAGTCTATTTTGGGTGACTAATAAAACCACTAAAAGGAGATGCAGACAAACACTAGAGTGAACAGGCCAACACCTAGTCTCACTGAAAAACAAGGTTCATACACTGAGCAAACGTGTCATTTAATTAATTTCATTTAATTAATTTCCTTGACTCATTTCATACATTTTTAAATAAACAAGCAAGCGCTATCTAATCTAACAAATAATATTAGTTGTAACATAGATGAATCCAGTCCTGCTCACATACTGTGTGTACTAACCAGCACGTGTGAGGGTCTTGTAGATGGGGCAGACGTAGACCCCAGAGGTTGGAGGTTTGCGATTGGGTTTGGGGATCAGCAGGATGACGACCATTTCTGTGTAGAGCTCCTTGGGCCTGGACTCTGTGAGCTGGCCTGCCTCGATATCCCAGCGAGCCCCCTCCAGGAATAGACCGTGTATGTAGCAGCCTGTGTTTGGTTTCTCTGTTATCTCTGATACTGACTTCACTATTACCTGTGGGAGAAGGGATGCAGAAGAGATGAGGAAGAAACAGAATGATAGTCAGTATAAACCATTAATAACAAATCTTCAAAGCAAATGTAACAGAAATATACTGTAAAGTGTGTGTTGATATTCATACACAGTGAATTCAAAGTGGTAAATATGTACCTGACACAATAAATCTGTATGCTTTTAGCTAGTTAAGCAGAAACACTGGCATTTACACAGACTGTCAGACATGCCCCTGACCTCAAAGTCAAATCCAATTGTGTCGATGGAGGTGCCGGAGCGACGGGCGTAGTTCTGGAGGGTTCCGGTGAGAAAAGCCTGGGGGAAAAAGAAGCCACTAATCCAGAAGACAGGTGGAATGCCATTAGATATCCATCTCTGCAGAAAATTGATCCTCTGAAGCAGGTCTGACACCCAGGAGGCCAGAGGCTTCAGAGATGGGTAGGCCTGGAGGGGTAGTTTAAGTAGTTATGTATTATTAGAAAGCATTGCAGAGCCTGAAATTATGAGAGCAGGACAGAAATGCCACCACAAGCTCATCTGATGTCTTGTACACTGAAATCACTCCCAAATGTCAAATTTCTTATCCCCAACTGCACACAATAACACGGACAGAAGGCTGTCATAATGTGGATGTAGGATTGGGTTTATTTTGAGGCTTCCCCGACAAAACTTCTGTGCATGTTGTTGACTAAGTGTGGGCCAAGCTTTCTCTTTAAAATGATCCAGGGTTGGTGAGCCTTCAGGAATATAAATGTATAAAAATATAAGAAGTGTTTAAAAGGAATTTCTTCAATCTTGATAAGGGAATGAGAATGAGAATAATTGGTGTGTGTGTGTGTGTGTGTGTGTCTCGCCTTGGCTTTCCACATATCAGGCACCATGTTGTTGAACAGGCTGTTGGCCATAAGCTCCAGTTCTGACGACATCACCACTAAACCCTTCAGAGCCTTCACAATATCACGGAGACTCTGAGAGATGACCGCCAACAAATTGTTATATCTGAAAGACAAAAGATACAAGTACTTACAATTTAATCCTCATATCCAACCATTATTAAACAATTACAAGAACATGTGCATCACTTGTGTATTGAATAGTTTGCAAAGACAAATAAATAATAATTCTAAGTCATAAAGGAAGCAAAACTATAAACCTGTTGTTACAGGTATACCTGTTGGTATAACCTGGTAAACTAATCTGACTTCTAGGTTACACATGTAAATAAGTAATAATAAGTAAACTAACTGTACACAAAACCTGATAAAAAGGTTCACAGACACACAAACTAACAAAAAAACCCAAACACTGGCCACTGAAGACCTTGTTTATAACACGAGAACAATACAAAAATAGAAAAGCAACCCTGTAGTATAAAAAGGAACAAAATATATTTTCAAGAGTTGCATATTTACGACTGTTGACCATTACCAATGATTCAGAAACTACAATCTCTGGTTCAGAGACACCTGGCTTCCCAAACTCACTCTGTACGAGTTGCTGACGTCACAAGCTACAGCAGCTCACGCACAACAGAAAAAGTATATATATACTGCAGTATGATCACATAATTATGGCTTTGACTGGATGTCAAAGGGTACAATTTCAGCTACTAGTCTCAAATAAAGATATTACATTACTGGTGAGACATTTAATTATTATTTTTACCTCACAAGTTAAATTATTGGGCAGAATCACTGATCTAGCCACTTGACCCAGCTGCATATGGTGAGCTAAATATTGTCAAAGATGCTTTCAGTGCAGTACAGATGGCAGTTTCTTCCCCTGATCTCAAAGAATTACCAAACTGTAGACATTTGTTATCCTGCTGGATGATTAAAATAACATTCATTTACAAAAAATGTAAAGGACAGGTTGATTTGCCGAGTACTTGAGAATTATTCAAGCTGATCTAAGTATGACTGATAAACAGTGCTGTTTCAATGTACTGCTAACACAGACAGGTTGAGGGATACGGTCTAATACACAGGACATGCCGCCCAATTGTTAAACTTATGACTTTCAGTCACACATGGATATAAATTTTGATCAAACAAGAATAAACTTTCACAATAAATGAATTTTCCTCCATCTTGTCACATCTTTTCAGCTCTGATCATGAGTGTACAGCAACAGAGCAGAATGACGTGTTAATATATCAAAGAGACCCTCAGTGTGTGTCACGCTGACCTGGCGGAGGTGTGGCTGTCTCCCGTGTACCTGTCTCATTTCCTCCTCCTGCACGGCAGCCCACGTGACTGTGCGAGCCATGGCGCACGCTCGACAAGGTGAACTGAATTGGGGCAATTAGAAGCTCGCGCCCAGTTCAATCAGTGAACTACAAATACGCGCATCAGTCATTTGACTGGTGTGCGACAGACTGAGAGGACGGCAGAAGCACAAACGCATCCACTGTGAGTAACTGGGACTTTTGATCGTGACGGGCTATCGGTAAGCTCACATGGACTCTTGTTTCATATGGACTCTTTGTCTGTATGGGTGTAGAAATGTATTTAATGTGCTAAATGTGTTGCAGGTAAAGTTTTTAAAGTAATTGTCACTGCATGGCTTAAAGAGATACTAAATTGATAAGACCAAATGCTTAAGTTTCCTACGTAATTTGTATAAATTAATACTAAATAGTAACCCAAAATCCTTTGTTAAAGCTTAATTAAAATTGATAAAATGCATAAATAGTTTTAATAAAAATGTAAAGAATATTCCTTAGTTAAAACCTTTAGTAAAATGTTAAATATAGATTTAAAAAAATGCTGTTAAAATTTAATTGTGTATAAAAAATAGGAATTAATCTATATAAAAAGTCTAGTAAAATGCAGGGTAAAAAAAACATGTTATTTTGTGTAAAAACCAGAGTTAGGTTCATCCTCGTGTGTGTGTGTGTGTGTGTGTGTGTGTGATTAACATCTAATTGGTTAACAGTAATTAGTTAAAACACTTCAACGTCAATCTGTAAAACATTTGTTAAATAATCCTTTTACCTAATCTAAATATACTTACCTTCTACCTAAATGAAATACTTACCTTGATCTGCGTTTCCTGTAAAATGCATTTAACCTTACCTGTGTTGGGAAAATACCTGTTTGTTCAAAATTTATTTTGAAAAAAAAATGTTTTTTGTATTTAAAGGTTTTTCACCTGTTACTCCCGATCCTGATTCTGTTACCTGATCCTGTTACACTAAATACATATTTTTCTGAGTGAAATCCGAAATCTGGTCTGTGTGTTTTCAAGTGTGGGCACCTCACAGTTAGAATACACAGT